GAGCCTTGGTAAGACGAATTCATTGTGAAAAGATGTGTGAAGGGCTATTAAAATGGATCAGAAATATGTTTTGCTTAGTACTGGAGTGTATGTTGATTTCAGAGTGGTAAAAGTAGTTTTAGGCTGTTGAGCTATAAACAACTTAAATGTGTAATTTTACTTGGTTTTTGGGGTATGTTTAAATGATTTAAAAATCACTGGATTAAAAAAATACCTTTTAAGATCTTACATTTTATTTCTCTTCTAGTCATTTATAAATGTTTTAATAATAAGTTAATTCTCTAAAATTAGCTTTCAACCAAATACAAATAGTTTCTTAAGCTCTAGAGATTTGCTGAAGGAACTTTAAAAATAAAAATGGATGTTCCGTTATGAATGAAAACTTCAAATAGCTTGGTTTTGTTTGAACAAATTAAAAATTTTGTCTTTAAGCACTGAAGAATGACAAAAAGCTTTTAGCATTTCAGAATCTATATGGGGAACATAAAAATTTTTATATCTTTTTAAAATATACTGCCAAAAATTCATATATCTGATGTGCTGGAGCAAAACAGAGTTAATACCTTGAAGTCTCTGAATCCAGTGGAAGCAAAAAGGAAGTATCATGAAAATACTTCAGTCCTTTTTTTCCTCCCAACTTTTTGTTGTTGTTGGTACTGGGATTTAAACACTCCACCACTTGAGCCACCCCCTCAACTCCTTCCAGCTTTTAGATGTTTGTGTGATGAGGAGACTTTGCAGGAGACTGTCCTAACTGTGTCTGAGCTTTAGTTCCAGGCAGGAAAGCAGACTGGAGCTCTGAGGGCAGCCACCTCTCCCCTGCTTTTCTCCCTGCACTTCCCTTGCTTGTACACCTGCTATTGGTTTCTTAAGTAGATGGCATAAATGATTCCCCTGCTCTAAAATATTGTTGCCATGATCTGTCATTCTGCCTTTCTGGCTTCACATCTTTGTCTTTTAAAAAGAGTTTTGAAGAGACCCTCTTTTTTAAAATGCATGTATTCCTTAACTAATGTCTTGATTATTATTTAGTGTCCTACCTGGCTGGGAAGAATGAATCCCTGGCTAAATATGAGCAACTTGAAGGAAACTACCATTTACAATAGATGATAATGATGGTGATGAAGATTTGTAGTACTGGGGATTGAACCCAGGGCCTTATTCAGCTGCATCTTGCACCCTTTTTTTTTTTTTTTTTAATTAGTACTAGTAGCTAAGGGGTATTGATTGCTATATTATTGATTACCAGGAATTGTTTTAAGTGTTTCACAGATTTTAAATAGATTTAATTTCCTCAACAGCACTGTTGGTTATTGCTAACATTAATATTTTAATATAAGAAAACTAAGGAATGTAAAGCATAAATAATTTGTGGTCACATAGTAAATTCAGCCAAGGGTTAAACTTGGACATTTGGATTCCAGAGTGTGCTCTTTAACTATTTTGCTGTGATACCTCCCCCCTTCTTCTATAATATGTCTCAGATGACATCTGACCAAGATGTCACCCTTTTTCCAATTCTGCATAGAATAGAATCATGTATTTAATTATAGACACTATTCTCTGTTGAAGGTCAAGGATCTTGTCATCATCAAGGGATTTTTAATAACAACTGCAAGGAAACAGGCAACTTTTCTTGTAGCAAAGGGAATATATTTGTAGAAAGAGAAGGGAGTAAAGGAGCTAGTGTAGAACTTAGTTTCTATACATAATGCCTTCTGAGCTGTTATCACATAAAATGTATACAATTAACATACTATTGTTAGAAATTTGAAAAACACAGATTAATAAAAAAATACAATAATTTATAGTCCTATTATTACTCAGCAATAATTCCAGAATAAATGCATATACTCTTTCTAGTCATTTTTCTATGAGTCTTTTCTGAATGTTGTAAGGTGTCAACTCATCCCACCTCTTTACAAAAACTTTATAATGAGCCAGGCATGGTGGTACGTGCCTGTAATCCCAGTCCTGTAGTCCTAGCACTGGTCAGGGGGAGGCGCTGAGGCATGAAGACTGAGAGTTCAAGGCTAGCCTAAACTACATAGTGAAACCCTGTCTCAAAACTCCACCCCCTAACCCCCCGCCCAAAAAAAAAAAAAAAAAAAGCTAGGCACTTACATCTGTAATCCCAGCTATTTGACAGGCACAGATTGGGACGATTGAGGATATAAGGATGCTCTCAGTTCAAGGCCCAGGCAAAAAGTTGGCAAGACCCTATCAATAAGCTGGGCATGGGGGTGCATACCTGGTCCCAGATACCCAGAAGGCATAGGTAGGTAGGATTGTGGTCCAAGGCCACCCTGGGATAAACTCGAGACACTATCTGAAAAATAACTAAAGCTAAAAAAGGGCTGAAAGCAAGGCTCAAATGGAAGAGCACCTGTCTAAAAAGCATGCGTCTAGGTTGTCTCCACCTAGAGGCATTCTGAGTACTGAAAAAAAAAAAGTAATTTTCCTTGAGTGTAAATAAATGGCATCCTCCTCTTTATCTCTGCAAGGATTTAAACTAATAATTTTTCTATGATTTGTTAGAAACAATGCTTAACTAAATTTGCAATTTTAACCCATCCATTTTGAATAAAAGTAGTAAAAGCAAGACCTAGATTCTTCCCTTACCTCCAAACAAGATTGGTTCTTTTAACCATGTTTATTAAGCACTAATTCTACCTCTGCTCTCTTTTTCAAAACTGCTTCACTGCTACAGCTTTAGCTTCCTTACAATCTGCTCATCAGTCTTCCAGATCTGTTTTGTCATTCAGATCTCACTGTAACCTACAGATTTGATCATGTCATTGTCCTCTACAGTGGCCCCTCAGTGGCTTTCTATTGCCCATAGACCCCAGGGGCAAACTTGGGGTAATGGGATCAAGGAGTATTCCAAGACCCAGGTTTCAGGGAGAGAATGTAGAACAGAGCATGTGCCAGTTTATACATTCCTTTGGCTCTGTTGACTCCACGTTAATGAGGAAGGGCAGAATATGGGTCTCCTGAAGTGTCAGATTTGGGCACTGGTTGTCTCCACCTAGAGGCATTCTGCTTTTGTGTGCTGGATAAACTTTTGGTAGAAAGGCTCCACTTAGGAGCCTCTTTATAATAATCTGAATGAGACTTGATTGTGGCTTGAACCATGTTGGTGGCAGAAGAGGTAATAAGTGTCAGATTCTAGATATATTTTGATGGTAGAGCCAGCTGTTTCTCCTGAAGAACTGATGTAGAGGAAGAAAAGTCAAGGGTGGGTTACTCCAAGGTTTTTTGCCTTAGTACCTGGAAGTTATAGGATAATGGAATACATTAATCATAGGTGTCTCAGCAACAATTGTTGAATCATAAATACTATTTCACCAAACTTTAGACCTCAGGAAATTGTGAAGAAAGAGAAGTAAATCTAAAATGTGTATTTGAAATGTATGTACATGTGATGATTGAGACTGGTCTGTCTTAAGTCTATCAGTCAGGATACCTGATGTCTAAAAGGGTCTGGTCACTAGATTTTACAAAAGAAATGATAAGGAACCAAAATTCAATCTGACCTTTGCAGTTTTCCTAGGGTTTTGGAGGTGGTACCTACAAGTACCATTGAAATTCATATTATCGCCCTAAAATTTTAAAGCATGGACCATGTTACATATAATCTGAATGTATATATAACTAGATCCTTAGCTGTCCCCTGAAATTTATGTTCAGTTTATGTGAAATTAATGAAAAAAATGCTTTGTGATCACCACTTTTAAAAGACTGGTGCTTTTTTCATTGTTATTCTGTTTTGTTTTTCAGTGCTGGGGGTGGAACCAGGGCCTTGAGCATGTTAGGCAATCTATCTCTCTCCACCCCTTTTGTCCTTTTTTTTTTTGAGACAAGACCTTGTTGTATATAGCCCCGTCTGGCCTACAATTCACAGTCCTCCTTCCTCTACCTCCTGAGTGCTGGGATTGCAGGTGTTTGTCTCCACTCCTGGCTCTGTTCATTTTTTTTAAGGACCTGTCATAGAAGTGTTTCTGACTTTAACTGAGGAAGGAGCAAGTTTTGGGTCAAAAGCATTCCATAGGCCCTTTTAAAAAATATATGAATAAGCTTAGAATTCCATAAATGGTTAGGACTTCTAAAATGTAAAGACTCATTGTATTGCCTCTACTTCAGATTCTTTCTCTTTTCTCTGTTTTCTTACACATCCTTGTCCATTCCTGAGAATATTCAAACATGAAAGCATAGTTACTTCTGTCTTTCTCACCAAGGCACTGACAGGTCTATCAAGTCAAAGTATGTTATACAGCCACAAATTAAAGGTAGTTATTGATACTGTAAATGGAAAGCCAAGTTTAATTAAGTTAAACATTTAATATGATTTATTTAAATAAGTAGAGTATTAAGATTGTTTTCACTATAGCTACCACTTAGCATTTACGATGGTGGACATTAATATTATTTTATCTTTCTCAATCTTTGAATGATTATGTTTAAGTTGGGATATTTTTCCCTCTCTTGCAGCTTAGAGAAGTTAAAACACTTCCTCAAAATCATACATCTTATGGTCTGCCTAGAGAGTAGAACTCAAATACGTGCTTTTAACTATGATTTCCTTTAGTAACTCCATGTGGATTTCAGAATATTAGTAGTTATTTATGAGATATATTTGGATCTTGCCAGCCCCAGTTTTTAAAGAAAAAAAGTGTAGTTTTAAAAAATGGCCTTCAGACTGTTGGGTAAAAGGATAGCTCTTATTCTAGTTGAGTGAAAAGTGGTCACTACCCATTTTCACCATTAGGTGGTGGCAGAAAATTATAAACTGCGAACCCACTAGAGAGAGTAAATTGTGTGCTCTTTAACTGTAGAAGATCAGGAGAGCCAAGTACAAAAGGTGGAGTAAGAATTGCCAATGGCATTATGACAAGCCCAGAAATTAGGAGCAGAGGGAGCAAATGTATATTATTACTGGGAAAATACTTTATAAAAGTAAAGTTGGCTTGCTTAATTAAAAATGACATTGTTTTGCTTAGTTTGCAGATGCTTCAAGTGTTGTGAACAGAGACTTGTTTGGATTATGTGTTTCTCAGATAGACTTAATAAATATTAACAATGGATAAGTGCAAACACATTGGGCAGTTGCAGCTTGCTCAAGACCATTCCATCCTCAACCCTCAAAAATGGCATTGTGTGGACTGCAACACGACTGAGTCCATTTGGGCTTGCCTCAGCTGCTCCCATGTTGCCTGTGGACGATATATTGAAGAGCATGCACTCAAACACTTTCAAGAAAGCAGTCATCCTGTTGCACTGGAGGTGAATGAGATGTATGTTTTTTGTTACCTTTGTGATGATTATGTTCTTAATGATAATGCAACTGGAGACCTGAAGTTACTCCGAAGTACACTAAGTGCAATCAAAAGTCAAAATTATCACTGTGCCACTTACAGTGGACGGTCTACAGGTACAAGTGATGATTCTTTCTACTTACATGATGGCGGCCAATCTCTGCTTCAAAATGAAGATCAAATGTGTACCGCCCTTTGGCACAGGAGAAAGATACTCATGGGTAAAATCTTTCGAACTTGGTTTGAACAGTCACCCATTGGAAGAAAAAGGCAAGAAGAACAATTTCAGGAAAAAATGGTAGCAAAAAAAGAAGTGAAGAAAAGACAGCAAGAATCAGAGTATCAAGTGAAAGCAGAACTGGAAAGTATGCCTCCAAGAAAGAGTTTGCGTTTGCAAGGTCTAGCCCAGTCCACCATGATAGAAGTAGTTCCTGTTCAAGTATCATCACGAACTCCAGCATCACCAGCAAAAAATAAAGTGGTATCTACCTCAGAAGATGTAAGATTTAAAAAAGCCAGTGACTCCTCAGTTAAACGAAGGCCAGTGGTAACTCCTGGTGTAACAGGATTGAGAAATTTGGGAAATACTTGCTATATGAATTCTGTTCTTCAGGTATTGAGTCATTTACTTACTTTTCGACAGTGTTTTTTAAAGCTTGATCTGAACCAATGGCTGGCTGTGGCTGCTAGTGATAAGACAAGATCTTACAAGCATCCACCTGTCGCAGATTCAGTAGTGCATCAAATGAATGAAGGCCAAGGAAAAGACAGAGGTCTTGTTTGCCCCAGACATCCAAATTTATCATCAGGACTAAGTGGTGGAGCGTCAAAGGGTAGAACTATGGAACTTATTCAGCCAAGAGAGCCAAGTTCACAATACATTTCTCTTTGTCATGAATTGCATACTTTGTTCCAAGTCATGTGGTCTGGAGAGTGGGCCTTGGTGTCACCATTTGCAATGTTACACTCAGTGTGGAGACTAATTCCTGCTTTTCGAGGTTATGCCCAACAAGATGCTCAGGAATTTCTTTGTGAACTTTTGGATAAAATACAGCATGAACTAGAGACAACTGGTACCAGGTTACCAGCTCTTATCCCCAGTTCTCAAAGGAAACTTATAAAACAAGTTCTGAATGTTGTAAATAACATTTTTCATGGACAACTTCTTAGTCAGGTATGGATAATAATATTTCTTCAAATATTATTTTTGTCTTAGGAAATTCATAAAGTGAGGCAATGAATATTCTATATGTATCTAACGTGTTACAGCTTGTACCATTTTTAGCTCAAAATATATTACAATGTATAAAGAAGTCCGTCCGCTCATTAACATTTCTTTCCTTCGTGAATCATTGAAAATAGTTCTATGTACATGAAATCAAAAGCTTTTTGGGAGGAGGGGGGCCAGGAAACAGGGTTGGTTTGTTCTGGCAGTAGGTATTGGAGTTTGAACTCAGGGTTTCTCAACTTGGAAAGCAAGGCACTCTACCATTTGGGCCATGCCTCCGGCCCAGAGTTGTACTCTGTTACATGAATTTTATTTTTCCACCCTCTTTCTCTGTCATTTCTTTATTAAAGCTTTATAATTCATGTAAGTGCAGTATATAGTTGCAAAAAGTCTGTATAATAAGGATATTTATATATATGTATGTGTGTTGCACATACTTATTTTTCACCATGATTGGTTATTTTGCATTTACCTGCTTTCATTTAATATTGTGAGGATTTTCCAGTCATTAAAAATACTTGATCAATCTTTTCAATATGTTTCAGTGTCCATTGTATTTTGCACCATAACTTATTTAACTATTTCCCTGTTACTGACTTGAAGACTATTTCCAATTTTTCCATTATTATTATGTCATGACAAATTAATATACAGTTCTTTTCAGAAAGTTGCTTTATCATTTTATATTTCCAACAGTGTGAGAATGGCTAAGTGCTTGATTGGGGGGAGCTTTTTTTAATTAATAAAAATTGTTATATAAATATTTTGCTTCTCTTCCCTTTTTGGGTGTTGTTGGTGCTGGGAATCAAACCCAAGGCTTCACACTTTCTAAGCATGTGCTCTACTACTGAGCTATACCTCAAGCCTCTTTTCCCTTTATACATGTAATAAACTCTCAGGAAACTTACTCTCAGGAAATTCAGATGATTGCTAGAATGGCATTTTATTTGGGGGAAGGCAATATTGGGAATTGAACTTAGGGCCTCACACTTGGTAGGCAGACATTCTACCACTTGAGCCACTCCACCAGCCCTATATTTTTATTTTTTAATTTAAGAAATGTCTCAAGATAAGGCAATGGTGCTACTGAGTTCCCAAACTAAACGCTAGCAGTATTCCTTGTGTCCAATTGTTGTATCTCAAATCCGTATTGGAACTAGCTTCTTTATTTTGTTGCCTGTGCCAGGAACGTGGCTTGTATGAAAAAGTTTCTTTGTAATATTTCATATAATGTGTGGATTATTACACATAGTCTTTCTTCAATTATGTGCAGGGTTGGTGACCTTAAATCCCTTTCCAGGTGCTACCTTGCCTCTAGGAGATGTAAGGACCGCTGTGTGCACGTGTGTGTAACCTAGGGCCTACAGCCCCAGTTGCTCCATGCCTTTTAAATATTTGGACAGGATTTTAATGTGGTCATGTTAGCTTTAAGTGAGTGTATCACATCATTATGGATAATGTATTATCTTTTAAAATTACCAGTTGGTGGGCTTCGAAATCTGTATAATGAAAATGTGCTAATAATGCTTTACCTGTGTTGTGGTTAAGATTGAGGGGCTGGGAATATAGTTCGGTGGTAAAGTACACGGTAGCTTGTGAGAAACAGTGCATTAGACTCCCCAGTACACGCCCAGCTACCCCACCCCCCCACACACAAAAAGAAGGTGGCTTGGGTGAAAGATGAGGAAGGAAAAAAGGTGACAAACTTCAAACCTGATAAATACATTAAGTGCACTAAGCATATATCATATATAGATATACTCACATATATAATGTTTATTAAATGAGTATATAAATATACATAAATATTTACATAAACTCTGTATTTAACTAAGCCTTTTTTGAAGGTTCAGTAGTTGAAGCCTACCAATTCAATGGCAATCTCTTGGAAGGAAAAAATGTAATAAACTTTTCTGACAAGAATATAAAGCTGGTTATTCAGAATTCTAATGGTGCATTTTCAGAAGAAAAGCTTATTTGCTACCAGTGGTCTCTAGTGAAAGTGGTTAATGTTTTCACAGATTGTAATCTGAGGAACTAATATTTTTATTTACAGGTTACATGTCTTGCATGTGACAACAAATCAAATACCATAGAACCATTCTGGGACTTGTCACTGGAATTTCCAGAAAGATACCAATGCAGTGGAAAAGATAATGCCGCCCAACCCTGTCTGGTTACTGAGATGTTGGCCAAATTTACAGAAACTGAAGCTTTAGAAGGAAAAATCTACGTATGTGACCAGTGTAACTGTGAGTAGAAACAGTAATATTCTGTTTTCTTTTTGACAGTACTGGGATTTGAACTCGGGGCTTTGCTTGTCAGGCAGGCACTCTACCATTTGAGCCATACCTCCAGCTTTCTGTTTTCTAAAGATTAATAAAAGAGAAACAAATGAGAGGAAGCTGGAAAAAATTCCTTAAGTAACAGCTATGAAAATTAACTTTTCAGAAACCAGACTAGACATTTCTATTTTACAATTGGTGTTTGTTTTGCCTTATTGATGGCATTAAAGTTTTTTCTTGATCTTAGTCAATTGTAGAAAAAGGGATTTGTAAAATAAGAAACTAAGAGCTGGTGGTATAGCTCCCATGGCACAGTGCTGGTCTAGCTTGTGTGAAGCCCTGGATTTGAGAAAACAAAACAGAACAAAATTTAAATTTGCTATGTGGAGAATAAAGTGGCAAAGAAGAATAGTAATAGGAAAGTGTATCATATAGTATAAATGAAACATTTATGAGAATTTTTTCCACATTTCAAAACATTAGTATAGATATTATGTGTTCATTTACGTAAGTATTTATAAGGAAGTATATTGCTGGGCTGCTGCTGTGGAGATTGGCTTTATAGTCCAATATTTATTCAAAACTGTCTGCCATTAAGTCTTTTGCCTTAAGTCATTGTTCTAATTGTTGTGAATAAAGGTAAAGACACTTTAATTCCTAGTAAGATCCAGTATGATGAGTACTGGTAAATACTCATTGGAGGGAGAAAGAGCCAGCATCGTTCTCCAAGGAAATAGTACATAAAACCACAGTAGATCTGTGTCCTTATCCTGTTTTCTCTTCCAATATCTACCTGGCCCTTTAGTATTTATACTATATACTTTGAGATATTCTACCTAGTTTCCATGTGTCAAAAGTGGTCCTAGAACATTAGATACTAATATTTGGTTTTGGTGGTGCTGGGGATGGAACCCAGGGCCTCACACAAGCTGGGCAAGTACTCTAACGTTGAGCTGCATCCCTAGCCCTATACTGAACTTTTAATGGAAAAGAAACATTGTATATTCTGGCACCGAAGAGATGTCACTATCAGTGATGGTTTTCTAGAACCACTTAAGTTTTGCATTTTTTTCTGAGTGCTAACATGAACTGTTATAAAGTAGCCTACAGTTTATAAGATTTATAAAAAGACCTTTGTCAAATTTGTTAAGCCTTTTTTTGTGTGTGTATCTCTCCCTGCCCCGCCCCCCCATACATAAATGTCAGTAGTCCCAGGTGATTTCCTCACCAAATTTAGGAGTAGACAAATAGTATCAATATAGAATATGGTTTCATTCCTATTTGTGTATATCTACTGGGGCTACTAAATATAGGCCTACAAGAGCTGTTTTAATTCATAAAGGTAAAGGCTTAAAAAGAAGAAAGGGAGTTGGCATCCATGTCTAGCTATATGTGGACCCTATGACCTTTGGGAGCCAGTGGGGCTGGCTTAGAGCGCAGCCTCATGGTAGACTGATTCTGCCTTCTACATGAGAAGCCGCTGCTGCCATGGCTGAAGTCAGAGCTGGTATATAAACTGAAAGAGCTAGACATCAACAGCAAACTTGAGTTGTGAATGACCCAGCCAGAAACTGCAGGACACAGTCCCTAAGGAGACCACTAGAGAAGAGGACAAGAAGAACCCCAAGTTCCACTTGTTGAAGATCTGCTGAAAGAGTAAAAATAGAATACCTGAGTGAGAAAGCCCTTAGGTGCATAGCTGGTAATGGACTGCTTTCTTAGGCCGTGGGCCAGGGCCGGGGCTGGGGCAGAGTCCCAGGAAGGGTGAGGGACATTCTGAGCAGTAGAGACCTGTGCTCCAGGAGGCCCGTGCTCCAGGAGGCCCGGATAGCATTAGTAAAGAAGTGTACCACTGCTAGGCATGGGTAGCTACTCGGGGCAGAAATTAGGAAGAGTGCGGTTCAAAGCCAGCCCCAGGCAAATAGTTTGCAAGACCCTATCTTGAGAAAATCTATCACAAAAATGGGTTGGTGGAATGGCTCAAGTGTTAAGAGTGCCTGTCTAGCAAGTGTGAGGCCCTGAGTTCAAATCCCAATACTGCCAAAAAAGAGAGAGAAATGTACCAGTTTTTTTTTTGTTGTTTTTTTTTTTTGCTTTTTGAGACAGGATCTCACTATTTAGCCCAGGCTGGCCTTGAACTTGCTATGTAGCCTAGCCTGGCTTCAAATTTGGAATCTTCCTACCTCAGCCTCCCATGTGCTGGGACTACAGTACTGAGCTAACATCCTTAGCTCTGACCACACATTTTAAGAGAATGTTAACTTTTTCTTATTAATTGGTATAGTTAATGTATAACAGTATATTTCATTCTGTTATTTTATTTGCAGGACTATTATTAAATCATGACTTGTTTTCATGTCTAATTTGACTAGCTCATAGGTTTTTTGTTTTCTTTTTTAATTGTGGATTATAAGTTTCTTGAGGGCAAAGCCCATGTCTGATTCTCTGATACAGTACAATTATTGTAACACAGTAGGCGTTTAATTCATGTCTGAGTTAAGTAAAAGTTTACTCAGCTCCTTCCTGTATCCTTAAATTTAATTTTCATTCTTTCTTTGATATAGCAAAGCGTAGAAAGTTTTCTTCAAAACCAGTTGTACTCACAGAAGCCCAAAAACAGCTTATGATATGCCACCTACCTCAGGTTCTCAGACTGCACCTCAAACGGTTCAGGTTAGTAGCAGTACTAGTTCTCTACCAATTAAGCACTTCTAACTTGACCATTTCTTCTGCTTAGAATGTTTTAAAACTTAAAAGAACACATGGTGGATTGTCTTAATACCATATACTTGAGTAGTAGATGACTTACCCTTTTTTTATTTTACATGAAAAAACTCTCTTGCCATTGTCTTGACCAGCAGGCACATCCATATTCAATAACTAACTTCAATTAGCTATTTTTTTTTAAGACAGGGTCTCAGTGTATAGCCAGGCTGGCCTCCAACTTGAGACAATCCTGCCTCAGCCTCCCAAATGCTGAAATTTCAGGCATGTACTACTACAGTCTCAGAAACTAACCATCTGATTAGCATTCCCTTGTGGATGAGCAGATCCCTCACATTTTGCTCTACTAAATATTTGTAAATTTAATTCAGCTTATTGTTGTTTAATATTCAACATATTTAAGGTATATTTTTTTAATTTATAACTTGAAGTATTTGATTCAGTTGTTTTGTCCTTGGAAAATATTTGATCCAAAGTGTACCAATTCAATTCAAAGCAGTTTTTTAAGAGCCCAAATTCTAGTCTTCTGAATTATATCCAGTCACGTGAGTTAACCGTCTATCTGTTGTTTAATAAAAGCAAATTGTTTTATACTTTGTGTGAATTGTGTTAACCTGAGGGGGTATTGTTGTCTTTAGGAATGAGACCCATTGAAGACGTTACTTCAGGTGCTATGACTTGAAAGCTGTTGATACTCAAACATGTTTCCCTTACCTGCACAAAAAAAGTTGAGATTTATCTACAACTAACATTTGCTAATTTTTTAAAATAAATGAATAAGAATACAACCTCCATTAGAGCTGAAATTCTTCCTCTGCCTAATCTTAACTTTGGTCTCCCATGCCACAGGTGTTTATACCAAAGGCTTTCTAGTACCTGGCACTCTAAATTCTACACCTGGCACTCTAAATTCTGTTTCAGGGCATTCTATCCTGGAAGCTGCTGTTTGTCTTAGTTATTAAAAAGAACACATCTTTTTAAAAATCATTCAAATACTGTGTTAAAGAAGTAATGTAAAATTACCTCTTTCTTTCCGGTACTACTTCCCCTAAGTAATCATTGTTAACTTTAATCATTCAGTTATGTTATTGCATATATTAAGGCTCAGTCAGCAAATATCATGGGAATGCTTTTTGATACATTTTGTATTTCTTTGAGGAATATAAGGTAGGGTCCTTTCCTCACGATTATAGACAGGCATGCACAGAAATAATAGTAAAGTAGAAAAACTCAGACTACATATAAATGTTAGAGCTGGAGAAGGGAGTTGACTGATGTCTAAAACATTCCCAAAGCCTTTCTGAGGGCATTTGGTTCCCAATATCATTCAAGCATGTCTTTAAGGAAATCCTCTCTACAGGAGCACCATCTAACTGTCTACCTAACAGTACCCTATTTTTGCTTAATGGCAAAAACTACTACCTGAAATTACGTACTTATTTATTTATTTCTCTCCTACCAGAACAGAAACTGAGTAATGACCTAACCTTTTCATCCCTGTATCTCAAAGTCCACAACTGTGCTCTATACATAGTGATGTCCCAAAATATTTATTACATGAATAAATGGGGTATATACAAGAAGAGGAGGATTTTAGTCAAAGGCAGCAACACAAGCAAAAGTATGGAGGAAGGAACAGCATATACACAGAAGGCTTAGTGAAGAGTAAGGCGAGTTCTGCAATTGTATATAAAGTAGCAAGGAATCAAAACAAGATTCTACAAAGATACACTTGAAAGGACTTAAATTGTTCTTGCGTAAATCAGTACTTAAATGGCTTCTATAACTGTTGAATCTCCTGTTCTTTTTGTAATTTCTACACTAGTCCCATCATGGATGCTGTTTTAATGTAGCATTTGAGGCTTTTCTCAGTTCATATCTATTTGAATCCTTCCATGTTCTGCCCAAAACATTTTTAAGTCTTCATGCTATTTCTGATTCCAGAAACTTTGTTCATGCTGTCTTCATCACATTTATCTTTGTCCTTCATCTATTCTAAAAGTACTACTGTGTATGCCACAGTATAAGACATACGTATATAAATGATAAATCCCAATTTTTAAAGCTTTTAAAACTCTTTTTTACTTCTCACATTTATGATTAGCCAGACATTGAAAAAAATAGTATTTATGCTTTGATTTCAATCACCATCATGCCTCCTTTTTATTATAATTTGTAGGACTAATAATTTATAGGAATTCATTTCATACTGCACACTTGTTTGTTCTAAGAGATCATTAGCTTTTACATTGGGGCTTCCAGGATAGAATGCCCTGAAACAGAATTTAGAGTGCCAGTTGGTACTAGAAAGCCTTTGGCTTGGGAGACCAAAGTTAAGATTAGGCAGAGGAAGAATTTCAGCTCTAATGGAGGTTGTATTCTTACTCATTTCTTTTAAAAAATTAGCATATGTTAGTTGTAGATAAATCTCAACTTTTTGTGTGTGTGTGTGTGTGTGGTACTGGGACTTGGACTCAGGGCTTCACACTTGCTAAGCAGGCATTCTACCATTTGACAATACCTTCAGCCCAAATCCCAACGTTTTGGACAGGGTTTTTTCCTCCAAGTATGTAGATGTGATTTTAAAGCAACTTTGTGGAGAAAAACATTTAATTCATATAGTTTACTATTAACCTTGTAAATATAAGCAAATGTAGCTAAATGTTGTTATAATTACCTTTGAAAATTATACTTGAATGTTTATTTAGTAAGCAACAGAACCCAGTAAATGAAGTCCCATACCTATAGCTGATATTGTAAAAAACAAATATCAGTACCATACTGATTAAGTTTTAAGGGCAATAAAAAAAAGTGAGTCAAGCTATTTTAGTTTTTGTTTATTTGTTTGCTTATTTTGATGGTACAATGGTTTAAACACAGGGCTTCATGCTTGCTAGGCAGGCATTCTTACCACTTGAGCCACCCCACCAGCTCAAGGCAAGTTTTTTTTTTTAAAAACTGAATGATTTTCTTCTAAACATAGTACAAATAGAAAGCTAATTATGGTACATTGGAATGAATTATCAAATAGACATATGTATAGAGAAAAACACATTTCACTAACAATGGAGAAAAAGCATCCAACGAAATAAGTAGTTTCAAAGTATCCACATATCAGTACAAAGCAAGTAAGTACTTAGGGGAAAAACTAATGAATTCTAATAGACATTCAAATTTCAGATTTCAGTAGAGTATGTATTTAGCTACATAAGTAGGAAAAAAGTTTAATAGAACAACTTCATCTTCATCCTGTGGATTATCTTTGCAGCCAGGTAAATCTTAACCCAAGGCATTAATAAAACTGTTAACTATTGAATTTCAGATAATTTAGTCTCCCAGTTTAAAACTCATTATTCTCTCTAAAAAATTCTACTGTGCAACCCTAATTATCATCACTCTCACAGATATCCCTAAAGTCAAACTTGAACCTAATATGGTTATGTGTCTCTTACTTTTGAGCCATGACTTACACTAGGAATAAATTTAACTTGAAAATATTAGCAAAACAACCCAAGCCTTAGTAGAAATTGTAATTGTTAAGAAAGTATTTCCAGCAAAGGTTAGTGTAGTGTGGTCCTCCTGCTGGGGTTGGGAGGGGTGTTGCTGTGGATTGGATTCTTTGGTAATACAAATGCAGAGGGCAGCCTTCTCTAACATGTTATATATGTGTGTTCATGTATATGAGTGTATTCACACCCTTAAATACCTATTTATAAAATTTATTTGATAATAAATATACCTGAAAAATATAAAATGAAGTAAGGTTACATATATATATATATATAATGTCAAGACAGGCAATACCTCTGGATGAAGGAAAGTGTGGGATTGGGAAGGAACACAGGAGTCTGTAAAGAAGCTTAATAAATGAAACATTTCTAATATCTTAGACAAGCCATGTGAGTACCTCCCAATCCTGTTCCTTTCCCCTCTCAGAAGCAAGCCATTATGAATTTTGGGGTACAGCTTTATAATTTCATTGTATTTCCATTAGGATAAAAAGCTGGCAACCCAGTTTATCAATGGAAAAATTATTTATTTTCTATTTAGATGTCATATTAGTGTTTTAAGTTAATCCAAGTAAGTAACTTAAGGTTTGAATTCTATGGTAAATGTAGAGAGATACATAAAGTGAGAATGATAGGACCTTAAAGCAATCCTGTTACTTTATGTGTTGGATATTCCATCTTTATTAAATTCTAGGTGCACTGGATGAAGTATCTTTTATGTGTTTCTTAGGGAAGGTATAAATTAGAATAAACAAAACCCATTTCTCTTACTGTACTCGTGTAATACAGAATACTTCATGGGCTGGTGGAGTGGCTCAATGGTAGAGTGCCTGTCTAGCAGGCCCTGAGTTCAAACTCCAGTATGGCCAAAAAAAAAAAAAAAGGTACCAGAGTACTTCTATGAACTGTGGTTACCAGAATATATAAGGGTTTCTCTCCATCAAACAATCCACTTTCAACAGATACCAGTGGAGTATCCTAATTCACTTCAATTCTGATACTATCTAATTGGAGGTAGAACCCTACGGGAGGTAGATCCCAAGGATGAGTGCTCGCTCAGCCCCATGGACTGCCCCCACTTTGTCAGAAGTGGTCCTAAGTCTTCTGACTGACTCTCAACTGGGGTTCCCACAAGCCCTTCAGTAAGTTCTATTAATTTGCCATAGGGGCTCACAGATTCGTGTTTACCATTTACCACAAAGGGTATCTTAAAAGATACAGATGAACAGCCAGATGGAAGAGACATTCAGGGCAAGGAAATTGAGAAGGTGCAAGGAGCTTTCATACCCTGCCCAAACACACTACCCTCCAGCAAAGTCCATGTCTTCAGCTATCTGGAAGCCCCAGTCCTTTCTTTCTGGAGGCTTCATTTTAGGTTTGATTAAGTCGCTGGCCAACAGTAGTCAACTTTCACCTGCTCTCCCTCCCTAGAGGTTGGGGTGGGGCAGGGCTGAAAATCACAACAGCCTCAGCAGTCTACAAGTCTGAAGCCACCTAGGGGCTTCCAGGACTAGTCATCTCATTGGCATATCAAAGACATTCTTACCACTGCAGATCCCAAGGGTCCTTAGAGCTGTAAATCAGGAAATGAGAGAAAGACCAAATAAACATATCACATATCACAGAAGAATCTGAATGACTTTTTAGTCCAGTAGATAGCATAATTTGCATGGCTTACCTTTAGTGCTGTACTATTCACACTGTACTAAGCATTTCCCCATTTACTTTTTCATGAAACCTATATATTCGTCTTTCCTTTCTCTGCCTATCATTTGCTGAACTTCATGCTTTAGTACTTTCATACTTTATCTCTGTACATATCCCAAACTGGCTATCTTGAAAGAACTAACAGGCATATGATTTCCCACATAGTACCAACTGAACAGCGTGCCTGTGACAGAACAGTGCTTGCCATGGTTAGATGCAGTAATGGGAGGCACCACCAGCAGACTGAGAAACACTAGTACAGGGCATTACCTCAATCCTGTCACTAATGGGTATTGGCCTGACTTACATATAGGGAAGGTCACAGTTCCTATTTTTTTAGTCTGAAGAGTGCTTGCTAAGGTATTCCATAGAACTAAGAGGCAGCCTATTTTTCTTTCCTTTACACCTGGCCAAGATGCAGATTATATCTCCAGCTTGGGACACCCTTTTTGTACTGTGGAAAGACAGTAGAGAATTAAAAATGCTTTGGAGCCTCGACTCTGTCAAAAAAATGAAAATTCCCATAGGACTATAATTTTCTAAAGGGTTAACTTTCTTCCTACATTATCATATAATTATGTAAGTCAAATATTTAAAAAACCTACCGGGAAGGATGAAGTTCAGTGGTTGCCTAGCAAGCTCAAGTCTTTGGGTTTGATCCCCAGCACTACAAAAAAATAAAACCCAACTGGACCTGTCTGGAAAATTAGCCTAAATTCCTTCATTTCTAGTTAATTAGAATTAAAAGGATTTCGTATATGTATTTATATTACAATTTCTACATAATATATGTATAAATGCATATATGACTGTTTCATACTCAGATTTTCTACCATTACAACTGTCCAAACTTAGCATATGACAGTTTTTTCCTTGATTTTCCTGATTTTCCTCTGGTTTGTTCTCAGGTGGTCAGGACGTAATCACCGAGAAAAGATTGGTGTTCATGTTGGCTTTGAGGAAATCTTAAACATGGAGCCCTATTGCTACAAGGAGACTCTGAAATCCCTCAGACCAGAATGTTTTATCTATGACTTATCTGCTGTAGTAATGCACCATGGGAAAGGCTTTGGCTCAGGACACTACACTGCCTACTGCTATAATTCTGAAGGAGGTATAAATAGCATAACCACCTGACCACTTGTTTTCTTTCTAGAAAAATGTTTCTTTAGCACTGTTGGTTTAAAAAAAGAAAAAAAAAAAGAGGGGAACAGGTTATGCAGAAAATACTGTATTTCCTGCAGGCTTGCAGTACTTTTGACTACTTAAGAGTCATAGGGTCAGGATAATGAAGATAGTTTTGTTAATTAAAAGTCAGAGACTTAACTTTTCTTGGCATACTTCCAAGAGCAGATGTTATGCTTATGGGTTTATTTCATTTACTTTTATTGAAGAATGGGGCAAAGGAGCTGGAGGACCACAGATATTTAGAACAAACTTTGAATTCAAATTTAACATACATATCACACTATTATTTGCTGTCTCTATGACCCTTCTAGGATAGCCTAGTTGTAGCAGAAGGGACTGGATTAAGGTTTTGTTTCACTTTTTTACTTCCTATTTTGATGCCTACCCCTGAACAAAGAATGAACCACAACCAACCAAGATACAAGCGCACACACAGAGAGAGAAAGCCAGATATATCCCACAAAGGAATTCAGCACCAAGAGTTGTACTCTTAACAGTCTGTAGTTTCAACCTATTCTAGCATAAAGGAAGGTAATTCCAGAAACTTAACACACCACCCAAGTTGGGTTTCTCAATGAAAAGAAAAATAAATTGCTAGAAAATTACTTCCCTTCAGAAAAAGCTTAATTGTCTGTAAAACTTAAAGCCTTCTGTACTAGAAACTTGTAGCGTTCTTTAATAAACATCCTGTTTCTGTATTTTATTCTAGGGTTCTGGGTTCACTGCAATGACTCCAAGCTAAGCATGTGCACTATGGATGAAGTACGCAAGGCCCAAGCTTATATCTTATTTTATACTCAGCGAGTAACTGAAAACGGACATTCTAAACTTTTGTCTCCTGAACTCCTGTCTAATAGCCACCATCCTAGTGAAGAAGCTGATGCCTCTTCTAGTGAAATCCTTAGCTGATCCAAAACTGGGGCTTTCTTTTTATTTGTATATATACTTTTTAAAAGGGCTGACTTTTAAATTTTGAAAAACAATTTTGAGCTTTTTTTTTACTTATGAATCAGTGCACACTACATTTATACATTTTGTATTTAACTACACAAATTTTTTACAAAGTATAAATATACATATATCAACTGCAGGTGACTATTTTCAAGTACTTGGGAGTTTTAAACTTTTAGTGTTTACCTCAGACTGGTGTTACCTCTTATATTTTGATGACTTAATTTGCCTCAGATCATGAATTGTGCAATCTACTAAAGAAATTCAGGTGACATCATTTTATGTACATTTGTTATCTTTTGTAGCTATTTTCTATACAAATTCTAAGTAGATGGAAAATTAGATACTTTTTTCATAAATAGTCCCAGAACAAAAACACAATTCTTTTAGGCCATTTGTATATTGAAGTCACCTTTGCCCCTTGAAGAGTTAAACTAGCACATCAAAAGTGAAATATCAAGGTGTCACCTAATTACTCAGCAGTCACACTCACTGGTATTCCTGAAGCTTCGTGCCCTACAAAGGCTTGATTTGGTAAATGGAACCTTATTATTTTAATAACTGTTCCTTTCTTCAGCATAGTCAAACTGTATTTCATATTTCAACAAAAATGGAAGATTTACAAATGGGGTATTTAAGTGAACTGTGGAACTATGGACATGAAAAAATGGCTGGTTGTTACCAGCAAAAATGTTCTAATAAAGCAGCCATTAAAATCTGAATTTAATAAGCCACGATATTATTATGATGTTATACAAGTATACTTTATCTTGGATATGAGTTCAATACTAGATCTCTTAAAAGCTTTGTGTAGCTTGAGAATAAAGTCATGAAGAGAAAAAAACTGCACAGGAGTGAGAAGGTAATTGTTTAAAACTGGCAATTGGGCTACACATCTAAGCAGCTCATTTTTCTAAACAAATGAAGCCTGGATTTTCTATTCTTGCTATGATTATGTGATTACTGGTAACTTCTTAGATAACATAGGGCTCTAGCCTTTTAAAAGAACATTAAAAATGATCTAAACTTGCATTTTGGCAAAAGTACCATGGGAGACACTCTTTGCTCTTCTGTAATCTCCCTGGGTCTCTCTGAAGTCCTTCTGCTGCTTAATTTAATTTACTCAGAGGGGATAATCCTAATTTACAGGTCAGCTGTGTAACAGATATTTAAGCTGTTATTGGCCACGGAAAGATTTGTCCCTTTCTTCTTATGTGGGTTTATTTGCAGCTTGAAATGTAATGAAAAACAGCTATTCACCACCAGTGGTGTCACCTTATAAACTTGAAAGAAATGTCTACTAGTGTATTTTTAAGTTTCAGAAAGCAAGTTATCCGGGGCAGCTGACAGCAAAGTGCAATGAGAATTTATCACTGAACAGACAAATCATTTGTGCCAAAAATACAGCTGGAGTATGAACACCTATGCAAATTGTTACCTCAACTGTTTTACCTCATTAAAGATTTATGTGGTCAAGATACCCGAGTCTAGCCTTTAATTTTGAGGGGTATTTTTAAAATGCAATGTATTTTAGCACCTAATTTCACTGGGATTTTAAATGAAACAAAGCAGTGTTCACAATGGTAGTTACTTGTATTTATTTCAAAGTAGAAATACATGGGAAAGAAAGTGACTTAGCCCTCTACTTGTTAATTCCTTGTTAACAGCTATGGAATGAGTATGTGTTGCTGGAGGGTGTACAGGAAATTAGTACTCTGTACTAGATTTTGCTGTCAATCTAAAAATAACAAAACCCCTCAACGATGAACAGAAACAGATTTCTTACTAAATATCTCAATTCTCAACATGGACTTCTACATTCTGCTAAGTTGATCTAATAAAAAACAACATGTTTTGGTTGTAAAATAATTTACTAAAGGCACTATTGTTAAACATCAAACTAATAATTTGTTACCAGTAAGGTACATCACTGTAAACATAACAATGATATCAAGATACATGGCTAGTAGGCAGACAATACAATTTCTTTCTTAAGCGACATCTTTCCTATTTACAGATCATATTCCTAACAGTCATTCCATGGACATAGCGATGCCAATGCTTCCAACATTTTTCTGGGAAAGGAGCAATAGCTTATGATCAGAAATCACAACTGCTAAAAAGATCTTAGAAAGCTCCAAAAACTCTTCAACTCAGATCAGTTTTTAAAATCCTGTGCTTAGAAATCAAGCTCCTTGCTTTGTACTTTCCCTCAAAGAGCCCAATCGTGGATTCAAAACCCCAAAGGAGCTTAGCTGGAGGATCCAAACCCAATAAAATGTTCAGGCATGAGTTGGTGAGCTCTGTTGCTTACAGGGCATCACAGGGAAATGGAGAAAATACTCAAAGGGAGCCACTGAACATTAGCACCATAAAAACATAGCTCATACAGCTAAAAACTAGACTTCTTTCCCCCAAAGACAACAATCATTTATAGCTCTAATGCTGAAAAAGCGGCTTTTCAATGTAACAAATGATCTCGGTACATAAGTCACAGGTTTTTCTCTCTTTAAGTGAAAAATGTTAAACTACAAACTAAATAGCATCCCAGAGGCAATAAAATTCATTATGCTAAATAAAGCATATACAAATTAAGGCTTTACCTTGGCACATAACAATTTTGAAATCATGTTGGAACATTCCTAACAAATCACATACGAATTCAAGCAAAAGAATCAGTAGCTGGGCTCAGTCCAGGCAAAATGTTATGCATCCTTATATCCAAATTAACATGCCTAGCTGCTATGAGGAGGATGAAGGTAACCTTAAATCCCGAAAAACCATTTGTGATGTTAAGAATCCAAACCAGTTAAGGGGCAGGGTGTTAGTGCATTTGGCTCACTAGTGAAAAAGCCTAATTTAAACTTTCTAACTAGAACAGATCCAAACATGGGAAGTTTTCTTTTGCTTTTCTGGCTTTAAGAGCCTTTAGGTTTTCTGAGGAAGCTGCATACATTTCCTGATAAATACTAGCACTGAGTAAAGTACTGAGATACTGACTAAATCAAAGCTTTTCAAGTTGGCACAATATTCATACTGTCATGTTTTAATAAGCACATCTCATTGGTGGGAAAAAAAATACCAAATATGGTTCTACAATGAAAGGCAAAATATTACTACAGCTGTGTATTTGTTTCTGAACAAAAGATTGTCCCATTTTATGCACATGAAGATCTAAAAAGCAAGTCAGTGTAGAAGTCTACATAGTACTTTTACTACTTCCTGTTCAGAATTATAAGCACAGACAGTGAAATGTAGCTCTCAGATCTGAAAATGTCTTTATTTTTTAGAAAATGGATTCCAGGAAGGTTAAAAAGCAATACCAGAGGGCATAGGTGCAGAACTGGATGTAGTCATTCAGAGCATTCAAATAAGAATATGGCAATATAAATATCCAAAAAGCATCTCTTAGGTGTTCAAAAACAAAATGTGTAAGTCATTCCTAACTAATTTGAACTTTACAGCATTTCCTAGACAGGGGAAAGAGTTAACATTTGACAATCCTGAAAGCTTTTTCTCCTTGGTTAATTACATTAGACGGTTTGCCTTTGATCAAATTCCTTTAAACATGGATAAAAGTATTACACAAGTCCACTGTTAAAACAGACAACATGTTGCAAATTAATTCTGGTATAATGTATTCCAACAAAGCTTAGAAAATAAAGATGTTGAGGTGGCTTTGGACTAAGTTTAATAGTCATCTCCTCTGCTGACAACTTCTTTACAAGTTGGACGCAACAGTATGGTATGTTCAAACTGGGCCGTATATGATCCTTTAATGTCACAAAGTGGTGGATATGGATCTACAATGCCCAAGTCACACAGATTCTTCAGAGCCATTAAGTATTTACTTTCTCCCAAGCGATCCAGCCATCTGCGGCAGAAGGCAAGGGTGCCAAAGTTTTCATTGATGACATTTAACAAATGTTTTGTTCTTGGAAGCCTAAGAGGAGAAAATCCAAGATTAATAGCTGGCAAGAGTTACCAACTCATTTCCCCCACTATGAAAAACCCACACCTTTGTTATCTTTTTCACTTGTAATTAAAGCTCAAAAATTTTTGCTGTTGTTCTTTCAATAATCAAAAGCTATTAAGGTGTAATAATCCATCCCTAATTATAGATAGCAGCTGACTAGGAAACCAGCTGGAAACAGTTTTATCATGTTTATCTATACTGTGTGTCAAATTCCCAGTACAGACTTATCTACAGAATGTAACTACAAGTTTCTTTTTGTGCAGCAGGCTCAAAACAACACACAAAAGGAGATGAAAATCCAACCTTCAATCATTATCTAAAGGGCTAAAAAAAACTACAATGTAAATTGAAATATGAAGTCTACCAAAAGGAACATGTTAAGATAAGAAACCTAGGAATGCTAGCAAAATAACAGACACTATTATAATTACCAGAAACTAGATTTAAAGAGAATACTTGTCAATAATTTTCAACCCAGATGAAATTTAAAACAGACTAATTTTTTCCATTATAATATAGAAAGCCACAGAACTTATTATTAGGCTAGAAAACTGTGTGTTTATGAACATAACACCTTGTATGTTTTTCACACTTATAATAATGCTGTTACCTTGGAAGATACTCATAAGTCATAAAAGTAGTCTCTTACCTTATTGGCACATGTCCAACATCAAAATTTTTCATGTAATGTGAACACTCCATATCATCATGAACGACACCTTTTCCTGTACTACCAAAAGTTTCAATGGCATACACTTCTCCTTCCTTCAAAAATATGTAAGGATGAAGGTAAGAGAACAATTCAATTGCAATAACCATCTCTAGACATCCCAATTGATGTAGTCCTTATTCAATCTCTCCTTAACTTACCTCCTTTACCCTTTTTTGGTCTTTCTGCATCCCTTATCAGAATGTAGGCTTTACATATGGGCAGAGAACTATGTTCACTTGCTATACCCCCCGTGCCTACTAAAGAGACATTAAATGTTCAATAAACAATACTTTGACAGTCCCAACATCTACCGTTGACTCAGCTCAAGTCTGACCATGCACATCTGCATGCACATAGCCCAATTTCTGCCAGGATGAGTATGAAAGGTAAGCTAGTTTTGTTTAACATATAGTACGCCCTTGGTATTCATGAGTATATGGTTCCAAGGAGACCATCACTGAGGAAGAACCAGGAATGCTTAGGATGCAGAGTTCAGAACTACACTGCAGATGCTTAACTCACTTTTCCCATAACTTCTGCTAAAGACATGCTGCTTTCCAACACACCTAAAATTTCCACTTTGACATTTAAATTAACTACATTAATGTTTACCTGTCTTTTGGGGCACCATCTGCTTTTTTGGGAGGTGTATTTTCACAAAATTAAGGGTAAGGAAACAATAGATAATACAATTTAAACATAGCTGACAAAAACACAGGACTAAGAGCTTCTCTACATGGACCTGTGGAATGTGTGTGCTAATTTAAATTTTTTGATTTTGAAATTTATTTCTTGACCATGCAATAAATCCTCAAATAATGTGGGCCCACTAAACTATATACTTAACTGTCATGACCTTTACTTTGGGAAAAAACACAAATGCTGTCTACAGGAGTGTTGGGCTGCGGTGTGGCTCAGTGATAAAGCACTTGCCTAGTGTGTGTAAGGTCCTGGGTTCAATCCCCAGCACAGGAAAACACACACATACACAAATATGTAAAGTGTCGATGACTCACATACCTCCATTCTTGTTGCCTCCCCTCCTTTCACAATGGGCACTGTTTTCCCAGCATGTATTCTGTATGGCCCAATTGAATGTCCATTTAGATTACGGATTGGTTTCACTATCATAATAGATAAGGGAAATAAATATTATTCAAGGACAAACAGATTCTTGACCATCTGGTAAATATTTAAAGCATTTATTCAAAAATAAGACATGGCTCTCAGACTAAGGTAATTAAATATAAACTGTAGCCTAGTGGATGGAGAAAAGTAGTTTGTTGTAGTGTTATTGATTAAATACTAAAAGGGAGTTAAAGGTTAATGGAAGAAAAAGAATAAAGTATAGGATGAGAACACAATGAGAATCATCTAAAGAGTTACTGTGTGTTATTATTAAAAAATGTCATGTATACAAATGATTGGAAAATTGAAAAAATGTTTTTATGGTAATAGAATAAAAGGTAATATGAAAGTGAGGACACTTGTCAAAGTGAGTTTTATCAAACTTTACATTTTATCATTACATAAACATTTCAAGCAAAGAAAGAAAATCTAAACAATCTCAAATTAATGATAGAATAGACAAATTGTGGGAAAGTTACACATTGGAACATTATTCAACAATAAAAACAAAGGGTGAGGGAGACATTTAACAACTGGAATGTTATAAGGAAATGAGCAAAGTAAGGCACAACTAAATACACACTATAAAATTCCAAACTTATTACACAGAAAAGACATAAAGAGAAGGAAATGCAAATACTTCAATACTCAAGATAGTTGTTCACTACAGGAAGACTGCTGCAATTAGAAAAGTGTGTATGTGCTGTAGATTTCAATACGTCTCTAAAATTTATTTGTTTGAAACTTGATCCATAATGCAGTGATATTAAGAAGTGGAATATAAAGGGAATTTTTGGGTTGGGGGGGCACTGGCTTTATTAATGGATTAATGCCATTATTCTAGCAGTGGGTTCTTCATAAAAGGATGAGTTTGATCCTCCTTTGGACCCTTGGTCCCTCCTTCCCTCTCTGTCCTTACAAGAAGCCACAAAACACAGCAAAAAGGCTTTCACCAGATGTCTTTGTAACTGTGAGAAATAAATTTCTGTCCTTATAAAATTACCCAGTCTCTGTTCTGGCTGCACAAACAACAATGGGATTGAGAGGCTTCTGGAATACAGGTAATACTTTTTCTGTGTTCACTGTACTACATAAATTTTAAAAAAGGTTTAGAAAATATAGTCCTATAGTTGTAGAACCCTCAATATGAAACTACCTTTCTTCTAGAGCAGAATTAGGTAGCTAGATTTTTTTTAAAAACCTGAAACAATAAAATAATGACAAGCAAATAAATCTAAGGAGACAGAGAAAAATGACTATCAATTAGCTTTTCAAAAAAACAGTCTCTCCTTATATAAATAATAAACTAACTTTAATATACGGGTAGCATTACTCCAAAACCTGGCAAAATAACCCCACAAGCCAATCAAAAACACTTTTATTGCAAAGATTTTTGGCTAGACCATCCTAATATATAACTAATTTAAACCCACTGCTTTTCATATGAAAATTACATGATAAACAGGATAAAGCCATATCCATTTTTAATCATACCTAGTGTAAAAGAGGTAGACTAATTCTGGGACCAACAGATGCAAAAGTAACTTTTAATTCTGTACTTCCTGATCAAGGGACCCAGTTCAGCTACACAGCTTTTATAAGAGCTCCTTAAAGTTTAGTCCAATGTCCCTTTCTCCATCTTCCTAGTATCATTATTTTTAGCTTAGTGAAAAAGATAAGAAGGCAGATATTAAGGGTTGCAACACTGTAGGCTAGAACTGTTATGTGGTAAATAAAAGGACATTGATACATTAGCTGATACTAGAATTTCCAAGAATTTCAACAAATTCTCAAAGAACTCTTTCTACAAGTAATCTTCAAGCAGACTGCTGTGATGTTCAAATTGACTACCATATTTGCAAAGAACAGAATAGACTATAGCAATGAACCTAGAAATAAAAGATCCATCTTGTAGCCTCACAAATTCCTCAAAATAACCTGGCATTTAATTTACTCTCTTAATCTCAGTCTCCTCCAGGATTAGAATATGCTTATGGGAGGCTCATGTCACGAAGTCTGATGTTTTAACAGAAGCAACCAATCCTAAAACTGTTCCTAAGCTTTTAAAAGAACTGGACAAACAGTATTTTGCAAAGGAAAGCAACCTAGGAAAAGTGATTTCATCCTTTCTTAGGAACTAAACTAATTTAAACCCACTGCTTTTCATGTGAAAATTGTAAGAAATTTCACATGACAATAAATAAAAGCCCAAAACAGAATATGTAAATCACAGGAGATAATCTAGGGCTGTGACTTTTATCTCCACATATGCTTTCAGTTGAGCTGGGGAAAGACTGAGAACATAAGAGAAAGGTATAATAAGGTGTTATCTCAAAGAAGTTAGGAGGATTAATGGTGAATAAGAGAATCCTTTTTTCTTCAAAGAGCAGTAATAAAATGACAAGGACAGATGAGAGATGGGGTTTCCTTTTTGCAATATGGCAAAAATTAGGGGATGTTAGCTCTGTCTACTTTTCTCGAGTAACTTCCTGACCAGGAAAAAAAATGAGAAGAATTTGACTATGCATTTTATCTGTGGCACAGATCCCAGAGCTGGAGACAGAAAGGAGAGAAATGACAAAAAAAATTAAATATTTAGTAAATTCTGAGCAAATTCTTAGTAAATTTACTGAGTAAATTCTTAGTAAATTACTTTTATGTAATTTACATTTCTCAGTAACAATGACATCATCAATCCTATTGCAGTCAAAGTTGGACCTGCAGGACCCAAAGTGTGCTTTCTTCATTTATATTACCTCCTACCCAAGTGTGAGCAGCCTTAGACTATTCTGGATTACACTGATGTTCACAGGAATAGAGATCTACTAGAAAAGATTATCTGAAAATCAAAGCAGTAAGAAAGTTGAAGATATAATGAAAGAGAAGGGTTAACAATGATATGGGGGTAGGCAGAAGAAAGGAAATGCAATTTGGCACATTGGGGAAATGTTTTAAATTTTTGTGGTGCTGGAGATAGAACCCAGAACCTCATGCATCCTAAGCAGGCGCTCTACCACCGAGTTATACTCCCTGGCCCCAAACAAGTACCTTGATATAAAAAAGAAAATAAAGAGCTGGAGAGAAAAAGACTAGGAGATGCCTATGATTTTAAGACTGGTGATGCATTTCAGTATTGGAACATGGGACAGAACTGCTATGGAGGTGAGAGTCACTGAGTTGGTCAGTGAATGGTAATGCTGATCTGTTAACTGCATTGCCCATGTAGATTTTGAATCTACCCAGGATGCCAATAGAAGTTAGCATGGTGCCAGGTGTCAAATTAGAAAAGTGAATGAACTTCTGAAAAGTGAGAAACAAGATGAGGTACAGTCAGGTCTCAGAGGAAGGACCACATCTGTACTTGGTAGAGGCACAATGGTCTATAACTGGCAACAGAAAATGCAAAGAAGGCTAAATGATGTGACTTTACTAACTAATGGGCAAGGCAGTAAGATCAGACTCCATTCAAAGGTCTATAGAAAAAAAAAAAAAACCAAGATTTAGTTAAAGGAAATGTAGGAAATACTCTGTAAAAAAGTTATTAGAACAGGGTTACAAAAAATAATAAGAATAGATCAGAAAGGAGGATTGCAGCTGGAGAATAGTCAGGTAGACTTGCAAGTTGGAGGAGGATTGGACCAATGGAGATGAATATGGAACACCACAAAGTATGGGTCACTCTGTACACTACCTAAGATGGCAGTGGGAAAAGACTAGGAGGGAAAGAACTTGAAAACTGAAGGAGCACACAGGAATTAACTGGCATCCAAATTCTGAATATGACTTAAAAGATATACTGGCTTTTCTCTGAGCCTCAATTTGACTAATAACAGAAAATTTCAAATTCTGGCTACCTTATAATTTCCCAAATGCTTTCTTACTAGCTATCAGAGTAGCTCAGGAATAGTTCTTAGGTATCTACCACAGTACTACTTCCATGAACTAAGCAGGTGACCCAAAGACAGCAATAAGCAGTAATCTGCAAAATTAATTTCAAAATAAGATACTTTACCTTGATATGTCTTTCCATCTATTTCCACTTCATAGGATTCCATAACTTCTTGGATGGCCTCCCAACATCACATAGACGAACATCAATTCCAGCACACTAAAAAAAATACATATATAATAATATATACAGTGCAAAGTCCAAAATGTTACCATGACTCAATTTAATATTTTAAATAATTTTATTAGCATATGATAGTTGCACAGGGGGATACACTATGATATTTACATGTGTGCTTACAACACATCTTAGTTGGATTTACCCCTCCATCATTCTCCCTCTCTCCCTCATCCCACCTAATTTCTTAATATTTTAAAATAAAGGACAACCAGAAAAATCACTATGTACATTACAAAGAATTATATGAAAGACTTTGGGGAGGATTCTAGAAAGATGGTAGAATAATAAGCACCAAGCACCAGGAAAAGACCCAATGTTGATTATAATAGGATTAACAGTAAGGTTTGTTTTGGAGAAATATCAGGAATCTGACAACTACAATGGCAGAATCTATCTGATATCCACTGAAAGCTTAAAACTTCCAGGGAAGCATCAGGTGATAAAGTTAATTTTAATCAACTTTAGCCATTAGCATAATAGCAGTGTCCCAACTGCAAAGCCCCATAACATTCCTGGAACAACCTGCTAGGGACTGGTGGATAAAGCAAAAGAAGGAAACTGTCCTCAATATTTGGGGTTCTATGCTCTCATCCCTAAAAGAGGTGGGTGACCACAGTTGTTGCACTTTCCTTCCGGGTTGCAAATGCCTGCCTCCTACCTCTCTGACTAAAGCAACCTCCAGGCATTTAAATAGCCAGTGCTCCCTCTTCTCTTCCTTCATTTGTCTTTTCCCCCTTTTAGCAGTCAAACATTAAAAATTGGGACAATCAAGAACTACATATTATGAGAAAAAGTTTTCAGGGAAAGGCACAGGCTCAGAAAACACCTAAGAACTTAATGTTTACACAGGAGTTTTCTTAACAAAGAGCTTGAATGAACACAGAACAATAAAAAGTAAATCAAACAAAAAAATTAGTAAGCCCTGGGAAAGAGAAGAATCTAATTTCCAGCATTACCACATTAGATACCAATGAAGATAACTATCAACACCAAATACCAATAAAGTGAACAGTAAGACCTATGGGATACCATCAACTAGACCAATATATCACTGTGGGAGGCTCAGAGGGAGGCCAGAGAACAGGCAGATAGAATATCTGCAGAAGCAATGTCTGAAAATGTCCCCAAGTTTAAGAAAAGACACAAATACTTAAGAAGTTCAATGAACATCAAAGTAAGAAAAACGTGAAAAGATTTATACCAAGACATACTATAATCAAGTAATGAAACTAAAAATGAAGTAAGCAATCAATAATGAAACTAAAACTCGAAAATTCAAAATTGGGGAAATCAAGCAACACAAACTTTATTTTTTTAAAAAAATTTGAGACAGGGTCTCCCAATTTAGCCCAGGCTGGCCTTGAATAAGATTCTCCTGCCTTAGCCTTCCAAGTACTAGGACTACAAGCATGTACCACACTGCCTCCTTCAATATTATAATCTTTACTAACTAATGGATGGGTCAAAAAACAAAAACAAAATAAAAAAATAACCACCACCACAGGAGTAACTAGAAAATGAAAACACAAACCAGGTGCAGTGGTACAGTGCCAACAGTTTCAACTACTATGGAGACTGAGGCAGAAGCAAGCTTGGGTCCAGAGTACATTGCCATCCTAGACAACATACTAACACACACACACGAAAAAACCAAAAAACAAAAACCAAAGCACACCAAAACTTACGGGATATAGTAAAAACAATCCTAACTGGGAAATTCATAGCTTTAATGCTTACGTTAAAAAACAAAAAGGAGCTGGGTATGGTGGCACACTGCTCTAATCCCAATACTCAGGAGCCTGAGACAGAAGCACTGAGGCCAACCTGGGCTACACAGTGAGACCCTGTAACAAAACAAGCAAACAAACAAAACAAAACAAAGCCAAAAAAGATCTCAAATCAGATTTATAACATAATGTTACAAATTAAGGAACTAAAAAAAACAAACTAAATCCATGGTTAGCAGAGAAACAAAATGATGACTGGAGCCGACATAAAGTAGGGAAAATGGAAAAATCAGTGAGACCAAGTTGGAAACTAATGAAATCAGAAATGAAAGTGGATTCAGGAGGCAGAGACAGAAGAACCAGAAGCTCAAGGCCAGCTTAGGCTGCACAGTGAGCTTGAAAGGTCTGGACTACCTAGCAGGACCAGCTTTTTCAAAAAAGAAGAAAGTAGAAACATTAATACTAATTCTACAGCAATTTTTAAAAAGGATTTTAAGAGACAGCTATGGACAACTTTAAAGTAACGAGCAAATAACCTAAATGGAAGAAACAAATTCCTAAATACAAAATGTACCAAGATTAAAATGTGAAGAAATAATCAAAACCTTCTGACATAAACTGGGCATGGTGGTGGCCCCCATGCCTGTAAATCCCAGCGCTCAGGAAGTATAGGCAGGAGAACTGAGAATTCAAACCATAGTTACACAGCTAGAGCCTATTTCAAAAAACCAAAACCAGGGCTGGTGGAGTGGCTCAAGCAGTAAGAGCACCTGCCTAGCAAGTATGAGGCCATGAGTTCAAACCCCAGAGCCAATCAATCAATCAATCAATAAATAAATAAAAACAACCCTAACAACAAAACAGGACTAGTGGAACAGCTCAAGTGGTAGGGCACCTGCCTAGCAAGCACAAATCCCTGAATTGAAACTCCAGTGCCACCAAAAACCAAAATCTTCTGACAAAGAATTCACCAGTGTAGTTTATCAACCAACGAGCTAATAATTGGGGATTTCCAAATGATTTTGACAAGGCTGCCAAGACCATCCAATGGAGAAAGGACAGCCTTTTAAAGAAATGGTGGTGGAAAAAACTCAATATCCACATGCAAAAGCATGACAAATGGACCTTTACCTAACACCATATCCAAAAATTAACTCAAAATGGATCAAATCTGTAACTGTAAAACTCTTAGAAGTTTGAGACATGACATCAAAGGCACAGGCAACAAAAGAAAAAATAAACTGTACTTCATGAAAACTAAAACATTTTGTGCATAAAAAAGCTATCAGCTAGTCATGGTGGCATGTGCCTGTGATCCCAACACTTGGCAGGCTGACTGGATCTATAGCCAAAGGCCAGCTGTCTAAGTAGGGCACCAATGGCTCACACCTATAATCCTAGCCAGACTGCAGTTTGAAGCCAGCCCTATGGCTAGAGACCCCATCTCCAAAAAAATAATCAGAGCAAAATAGATTGGAGATATGGCTCAAACAACAGAGTGCCTGGTTTGCAAGTGCAAGGCCCAATTTAAAAAAGCAAAAAGCAAAAAACTGCGGAAGCTGGGCTGGACTAGGGCTCAGCAGGAGGGCAGGATGGTAGAGCAGAGATGGTCTTGGGGGGCAATGAAAATACTCTCCGTATGTTATAGTGGTAGACACGTGTCACATATTTGTCAAAACCCACAGAACATACAAAACTAAGAGTGAATCCAAATGTCACTATGATGTGTAAATGTTAACTCTGACTTTAATGAAAATATTTCTTGATGGGGATAGTTGACAGTGGAGGAGCTGTGCATGTATGGGGGCAAAGATTATATGGGAAATTTCTACACCTTCTAGTCAATTTTGGTGTTAATATAAAATGGCTTTAAAAAAACAGAGGACTGGAGGTATAGCTCAAGGGATAGAGTGCCTGCATTTCAAGTGTGAAGCCCTGAGTTCAAACCTAGTACCACCAAAAATAAAAAAATAAAATGTCTATTAAGAACAATATAAAAACAAAGATAGCCTATTTAACAGGCAAAAAATAAATCCAAACTCTTTAATAAGTATTAGTAAATTTAAGTCTTAAAAAGCCTGTGGGTATTGTATATTACCCTACCCACTTAAGACCACATAGGCAGCGAATTAAGTAATTCATCTTAACTACCCACAGTTCTTAAAACAGGATATAAAAGTGCTCAAGATATGCTTAATGAAATAGTGCTTATAGTTCACTTACCTTTATTCCAGTATTAGTGGCATCTTTTACAGCTTTTAATAATGTGTCATATTTGGGATTAAAAGTGACAGTAAACGCACAGTCAATAATCCTACCTGAAAGAAAAAGTTCATCTTTAAGTATACTTACAGTCAATTTATCTACTTTATAGCATGTATTCTATTAACCTTGCCAAAGGGAAACAGAATGATGGGCTCAAAGGAAGGTAGCATTTCAAGTCCCCAGGGATTATTCAAATTCAAAAAGGCAAAAAGACAGAATCTACAAAGATTCCAGAATGTAATGTTTAATTACAGGGTTAGTGCATATTACTCCAAAATACCATCAATTCAGTACTCTCCCAGGCAGCTATGCAAACAGATAAACAGAAGCAAAATGAAAGCAAGAAAAGACTGAGGAAGTATGGAACAGCAGTGTAGGGGAGAGAAAATGTACAGGACCACAGGGACCTAACATAGTGCTACTTATCAAATTCAGTAAAACCTTAGATAAATATTTCATCTAAATTGGCTTTCTTGCCTGTTAAGTTAATTAAAAAGGTACTTAGGTACCTTCTATGTATATTTAATAAACTTAAAGGTTCTTGATAAATGTTTATTATTTGAATACATGACAAATAAAACAATAACGTGAATAAAAAAATTCAGGATTCTATTTTGTAATACCTCGAGAAAAAGATAATAAACCCCAATTACCCAATAATTTTCATCTTTAGTAGTATGCTTTAAAGTAAATCTAAAAATCTATCTTAACACAGTTCTACAGAAACATAAGGAGTTCAGTATTTATAACTCCATCCAACACACACAAAGCTGGAGGGTCCCTCACCTAGGGGTAGGGTGGAGTGGAAAGGTAGAAATTACTTCCATAAACTCACCACTTATATGTGTTCCAAAATCTATCTTACATATGTCATCATACTGTAATACTGTTGTGTCACCAGCATTGGGAGTATAATGGGCAGCACAATTATTGAGAGAACACCCAGTAGGAAAGGCCAAGCCTGCATTTAATCCGTTCTCTTTTATTAGCTTTCGTGAACAGTCTTCTAACTTTTCACTAAAACAAAAAGAAAAGCAAATCTGTTTACTTTTATATCCTTACCTTTATATACCCATTGAGTCCAGAAAGTTTACTAAAACCCTTAAATTACTTTCTTGGAGTGATCTGAGCACTTTCTGAGTATAAATAAACAGTTTTTCAATGTGATGAAAACAGCTCACCCAGAAGCTCCACCTATAATCCTAGCTACTCAGGAGGCTCATGGTTTGAGTTCAGCCAGGGAAATAGTTCATTAGGCCCTATCTTGAAAATACCCAACACATGGGCTAGAGGTATGGCTCAAGTGGTAGAGCACCTGCCTAGCAAGTGTGAAGCCCTGAGTGCAAACCCAAGCCCCACTCAAAAATAAGAAAAAAGAAAACACCTCATCTGTAAAGTCAAGAAAATTCCACTAAAAGTCTGGACACAATCCACTCTTAATTTCATTTACGAGGAAGTAAATAAGTCTCAACTTAGACTAATTTAAATGTTGGCTTTATTTGTATCATGTTGTACATTTTTTAAATTGTCTGCATCAGAGAATAAAGATGTCTTTTACTATTTCTCAAGATGAAAAGTGAAATTATTTTATTGATTTCTTCATTGCATTATAATTTTATGTTTTATATCTAGGCACTTTAAGAAGTTTTATTTCTGACTATGGATTGTTAAATAGCAAAATAACAGATTTCCAAACAGAAAATTACAATCAATAATGAGCGCATGTATACCTGAATATACATGTACACAAAAAAGGTGCAAATGTTTGTTCCTCTTATGGTTTCCCCACTGCAGTGGTACTGTAAGAACCTAGAAAATATTATAGACTCTTAAGATAGTTCTATTAGCAAAGGGGTAATGAAAGCTAAACATTATAATCAGAGTTAGTACTAAAATAAAAATTTTTTATCATGTTCTTACAAAAATGTATTCCTTTTACCAGATTTCTATCATTGTCATCCCAGGCTTGATCCAGCTCATAACGTATTTTCTAACTTGTCGATGTGCTTCCGCAGCTTCTCGGAAATCATTCCAAATCTCTTCACTAGCTTGATCTAATGCTTTCTTTTCTTCACTTGTAGTTCTCCAAGCAGCTGTTCGCCTTTAGAATAGGTATAGTAGAGTATGAGTTATTTAAATAAATAAATAAATAAACATAAAAAGATAAATAAATAAAGCATAAAAGATGAAGGGAATGTATCAGGCAATATAAGATATTTTAGATAAAAGTATATTATCTATAAGTTTCTATATGGCAACAAAGCACACACTTGACATCAACACAAATCAAGCTAAACCTTTTTTAAGACTCTTAGTAGGCAAAAAACATCTCAAGTGTAATTTCATTCACAGTCAGGGGTCACTAACAGCGTGCCAACACAAAATGATCAGAAAAGTCAGAAGGAGTCCTAGAAACCAAGCAGGTAAGGGGGGAAAAAGTTACCCTTTTACTTTTACATAAGACTTCTAAAGAGTACAACAAAAACTAGCCAACTGGATAAGTACAACAGTCTTCAGTATCTGTGGGGGACTGGTTCCAGAACCTCTACCCCACCTCCACCTAGAAGACACCAAAATCCATGGATGCTTAAGTCCCTGATATAAAATGGTGCTGTATTTGCAGATAACCTATGTGGATATTCCTATATGCTTTAAATGATCTCTATATTACTTTGAATACATAAAACAATATAAATAGTTGCTATACTATATTGCTCAGGGAATAATGGTAAGAAAATGTACATGTTTAGTACAGATGTAATTTTTAAAAGTGCACTGCTTATATCAAAACATATCAAAATATTTTTGATCTACAGTTGGTTCGATCCACAGGTTCAGATACCAATGATCTGGAGGGCCAACTATATTACTCTAAAGACGTGACCTGGAAATCTGCATAAATTTTACATCAAAACACATATTATATGACCAAGATTTTTCTGATTGTATACAGGTAAGAAGTGATCTTCCTTTTAAAAATATGGCTCACATATTAAAACTACCAAGTGTTAACGGTTTTTATAAATAGTACCTGGTAATTTTTATATTTTATATTATATTTGTATTTTATATTTGGTACCTAAGAATGACAGCCACTAACTCCTTCTAAGCAGCACTGTTTAGGAATAAAACCCTCTTAAAAATACGATACAATTTCACACATTCTTAAAAATCACACTGAATATATAGTTCACAACTCAGTGATCACTAGAATACAAAAGTGACAACATCTAGTACCTCTAATTTCCTCCAAATGCTCAAAGGAGATGTCCTGTTTGACACAGAGGTACTGTACTTGAGCATCAGAGAGATTTCTTTTGGCTTGTTTCTGTTTGGAAATGTATTTTGGATTTATCTACTGAGGTTACGAGATAGCCATGTGAAAAAGATATTCACAAGGAATGGAATATTTAGATCTTCTCAAAACAACTTCCCACAAATTACTTCTTATGGGAGGGAAAAACATTAATGACACACTGGGGAAAACAGGAATGCCTTGACCAAGTAATAGAAATGAAGACCATCAACAAAGAGCAAACTAATACCAAATGCCTCCAAATATGACATCATGAAAAAGATCCCACACCTATTTGTATAGAATTCCAGCCAAAACTGCACAAACTACTCTCAAATGATTAAAAAAAAAATCATACATATACATATTCACCAATTTACCTTCTTTCACATTTGCCTTCTTTCTACCTTCCAAGGAGGAGAAGGAATGTTAATTGTATATGATTCATTATATGTGTTACTATCATTCTATTGAGAAAGAACGATAAAACAAAGTCAGACTGGGTGAAAAGACATATGGGAGTTCTTTGTACTATTTTCACAACTTTCCTCTCGATGTACAATTACTTCAAATAAAAACTCCCTGTATAGATATCCTTATCTCAACTAGCAAAAACCCTTGGTCCTTCCTATTACTGCATATACTATCTCTTCAACAAAATTAGAGTAAGGCAAAACAGTTTCTGCCTGGTAATGAGGGGGTACGGGGGGATAGAGGGGGGTGGGAGAAAGGGAGGGGTCGGGGGAAGGGGGGAGAAATGATCCAAACACTGTATGCACATATGAATAAAAGAAATAAAAATAAAATAAAATGAACTCAATCTGATGATAGCTACAAAGGTGAGTTCCTTGTGGTAATTTATCAATTTTCAGTAAGTTTATTTTAAAAAGCAACAAAGGCAAGACACAAACTATATTCAATGTTAAATATGTATGAATATTGATTCTAATCTAGTCAAGTTAAGATTGTTTCTATGAATGCAATAAACTTATTAAAAGAGCAAATATAACTATTCTTACACTTTTTTTATATTTCTACAGGACAGTACAAAACACTTTAGTGTTTAAGAATTACCTTGAAAGTTATTTTACCATATAATTAAAAATCTTCTTCCATTATGTAAGAACAGAAATTATTCTACCTGTGTTTAATTTGCAACAGAAGCTAATGGTAAAGAAAGGTGTTTTTTAAGACATACGAAAATCTCAATGTTCCTCGTGTATAAAATATTATTTTAAGTGTTCTACAATATGCACATTGTTTAAAAACATTAATAATCTGTTAACAAATACAGGAAATCAATGACTTTCCTCTGTACCAATAAGCAGATAAAGTATTTATTCCAATGGAAATAAAAATATTTTATTATATCAGTTATAAAAAATATATAAACCATTTAAGAATAATCTTAACAAACAAGAAAGGAACAGGACCTATCTGGAATTAAGTGAAAAAAGCATACCACAACATTATATTATACAGTGATAAAACTGCCAATTTTCATAAACTAGTACAGAGAGATAAAAATTTTAATCAAAATTCTCAAAGAGGGATTTGTGTGTGTGTGGGGAGACACTCTGAAGGAAAATAGCTAAGAAAAGTATAAAAAAAGAACTGTGTTAGGATGTGTGTGGCAGGAGAGTAACTTCTCTTGTAAAGTTTCTAACATAAAATGAAAATACTGTTAGCACAAGAATAATAAACAGATCAGCAGAGCAGAATGAATAACCCAGAAAACAATACCATTTTATATGAGAGCACAGCATATGACAAAGGTGGTCATTCAATTCAGTAGGATGAATTATTTCATAAACAAACTGCTCTCCAGTTTGTCTGAAGGAAAATAAAACAAGTGCTTTCGGCCTTACACAAAAATCTCCAGATTAAAAATGGAATAAAGCACAATAGTTTGACAAAATCTAAGAGAATGCTAGGAATCCACAGGTAAAACACATGGACATACAATGCATTTAAAAAATTTAAAACTTCTGGAAAAGCAGAAAGAAATAAAGCCAGTAAAAAAGGACACACAAGCAGCCAGGAATGGTAGTTCATGCCTGCATTCCTAGCTTCTTGGGAGACACAAGTGTGGGGAAAAGAGGTCAGCCCAGGCAAAAGTTATTAAGAGACCCTATCTAAAAAAACAAACTAAAGGCCAGTGTGGTGGCTCATTCCTGTAACCCTAGCTATTTCAGAGGAAGTGTTATAGTTAGCCAGGAGGGGCAAAGTTTGCAAGATCCGGGACGGAGGCATGGCTCAAGTGGTAGAGTACCTGCCTAGCAAGCACCAGGTGGAGACCAAACCCAGTATCTAAATAAAATAAACAAATAAATACATCCATAAATATAACCAAAGACAAAGGGCTGGTGGTGTTGCTCAAGTGGTAGAGCACCTTGTCTAGCAAGGGTGAGGCTGTACATTCAACTCCTAGTATTGCCCAAAAAAAGACGCTCAAAACTACATAAAAGTCCAAGAATTGTAAACTAAAGTATTCATATCTCTTCTTTAATTTCTCTTCTTTAATTCTTCAATTTCACTTCCAGAAAATTATTTCATAATAAAAAAATACACATTCTAGCTACTTCAAGAGATTTACTGTAAATGGTTAACAGTGGCAAAAAATACTAGAGATGAAGTGAATGCCCATCAATTAGAGAATGGTGTAATAAAATATCATCTAATCACACCATGGAATACTATAAAGCCATTCAAAATAATAATGGAACTATTACAACTGACTTGGAAGGATTTCTAAAAGGCAGAACTGAATGAGAAAAACAAGATGGAAGAAAGCGTGACTAGGATTCCTTTCCCATAAAACAATGACCAAAACACTCCTCTTATAAAAACAAAGATGTACACATTTATGAACATAGAAAGATATGGAAGGCTATCTGGTAGGTAATTAACATGGGTATAGAAGAAAGGGAAAAAGGGAACAAGCAAAAAAAAAAAATTAAAAGATTATATTTAAAAATAAATGTGATCACAATCACATCATATATACTATGAGAACATATGTAATTAGTGTAAAATTACATATATCTGATATTTTAAAAATAGATGCTTTAAGATAGTGATAACAATTGATGAATTCAAATTTAAGGAAAAGATGACTATGCCATAAAATTTTAGAATTTTACAGATTTATTCCCTAAGAATTTTCATTATTTGGGAATGAGGGAGATAAAAATTTAACAACATTCTGATGTTTCTATGTTTAATGAAAAACAAGGGTGTCTTTACAGGCCAATCAAACAATGCTACAGTAAAAGCTTTCTTAACCAACTATTTGCAAACACTGCATTAACCAATGCTCTTAATTCCTTCCGTAAAACACAATGACCAATGCCCATGGTATTCTGCGTATTTGTGGCTGACAGGCTATATTCTGATAATACTAACAGCACTAACTTACATGTTTGCCGTGCATCTATTACTCGTCTAGGTGGTTTACATATATAACCACTCCTCTCAGCAGTCTTATCAAGGTTCATTTTATGATGAAGAAATGAAAGCACAGACATAAAAATTATTTTCTCGAGTCAAAACTAAGTAAGTATTAAAACTGGGATTCAAACTACCTGTTTGGCCCCAGTATCCATGCTTTACTAGTTTGCGAAATACCACTATGAACTTCTGACCAGTTCAATGGTATCCTTACAGAACACTTCTGACAATCAGGTGCGTTTGCCTCCAAACCATTTTAAGTCATTTGTATTTGTTACTGTAATTTAAGTACCTTAAAGATATATTAACACAGAAAGAAGTGTTTCTATGACTGACTACTCTGAAAAAAATCTCAATAAACACAAACATCACAAAACATTGCTGTCAAATAAAGTATAGACGAGAACTGTAAATGTCCTCAGAGCATCAACCTTCAGATCAACTTGGTTTTGCTCTTCCTCACAGAAACTCAAAATAAAAATCATAGATAATGCACTATGGATAGCTAATGGAGAGAAAAAATGGAATTCAATACAAATCCATGCTAAAATACTGAGGTGAAAAATCAATTTGTTTAAGTTAACCCTTATCTACACACACTTTTATTTTTTGCAATCCCCACTTCAACATACATTTTTGAACCTGCTGCTGGTCCAAATCATCTTGGAGGAGGGGCTTCTTCTGTATTTTCTTTGCAACAAATTCACAAGCTTTCAATAAAACAGTGGAGCAAAGTTCTGAGAAAAATTAAGTTAGTTTTGCTACTAAGTTACAACTGTCAAAAGTCATACTGAAAGTTATTTTATGATCCTTACCCATCTTGTGTGGGTGGGTATTCACACTCCTGTCCTTTGGGAAATACACCATTAGGATACAGGTCACATATTGGAACCGAGGGAGGGTCTGTTTGAACTTTTGCTGTGAAATACAAACAAAGCATCAAATTCTGTAGTTAAAAATACAATTAAGAAGCTACTCCTGCTTTCTCAGTTCTAATGGCTGTTATTATGTCCTGATTTTAACCTCCATACTGTCATTTTTTAGCTAAAACCAAGACACTTCACCACACTGGCCACCTCTTCTGATTTACTGCAGCTTGAGAAAAGTAAATTATTTTTTTACTCAGAACTCAACTGTATATTTAAAAGTGAAAAACTATTATTTTAAGGGACATAAGCATCTGTCTAGGTAGTGCAAGACTGAGTTCTCTTCCAAAAAAAGGGAGCACGACAGGGTATTAGTAAAAGTTAAGAGCATACACATGTAAAGCTGAGAGACTGTAGGTAGCCATATGCAAATTTTCAGGTACTTGAAAAAAGTTACAGTACTTGGCAAATATCTTAAGACCTTACTTCCCAAATTATGTATTGGTTTAGCATCCCTAATCCGAAAATTCAAAATGCTCCAAAATCTAAAACTTTGAGCACTGATATGATGCCAAAAATGGAAAATTCCACACCTCATTTCATGAGGAAGTCAAACACAGGCATACTAAAAACACTGTATAAAATTACCTTCAGGCTATGTGCATATAAAACATAAATGAGCTAGGCACCAGAGCTCATGGCTGTAATTCTAGCTACTTGGGAGGCTGAGACGGAGGATTGCACTTTGAAGCCAGCCTGGGGAAAGAGTTTGCGAAACCCTATTTCCAAAATAACCAGACCAAAATAGACTGGAGGTGTGGTTCAAGCAGAATAGTACCTGTGCTACAAGTGTGAAGCCCCGAGTACCAACCCCAGTCCTGACAAAAACAAAAACCCACAAACAAAAAACATAAATGAACTTCATGTTTAGATATTGGTCCGATTCTCCAAACTATCTAATTACGCATAGGCAAACATTCCAAAATCTGAAAAAAACAATCCAACACTGGAAACATTGCTGGTCCCAAGCATTTTAGATAAGAGATACTCCACTATTCAACCTCTAAGGATACCAACGTACCAATGTGCCCCAAGGTGCTAAAAAGAAAGCAAGTGAGAGCAAGGAAGTGAGAGAGACAAGAGTGCAAGCAAGCACACAAGCACTTGTTAGGCATAGTAGTGTATACCAGTAATCCCCTAGTACCGAGGAAGCTGAGACAAGAGGATTGTGATGCACAGTGATCTCAAAAAAAAAAAAAAAAAGTGGAGTGGGCACGATAGCGCACACTAGTAATTCCCCAAAACTCAAGAAGCTGAGAAAGAAGGATCATAGACGTAATGGCCTTATTCCAAAAGGTCTGTCAGTGGAAGAATACTATTGAAGGTCAAATACAAAATGTACCATACCACTCCATCTTGCTGATCTGCTTCCATTAGGGAGCAAATTTAAAATATTTAGAGAAATTGGAATCTCTCAAGTCACTCTCATGGAATACCATTTCTCACAGCGACTCTTTTTTTTCTTTGGCAGTGTTAGGGATAGACCCATGGCCTTCTGCATGCTGGCAAGGACTCTACCACATACCTGTATTGCCAGCCCTTTATAGCCACACTTCCAATAATTTCTGAATGGAAGAAACAGAACATTCCTGGAATGCAAGTAACTCTGTGCTCACTAAACGTCTTCATAAGTTCGGGACAGGACTGACATCCTCTTATGCGAATAGATGGATCCAGCCTGAATCAAAGACTAACATCCTCCCCCACCGCCCCCCACCACCTTGGGAGACACACTTAGGGGGAATGGCTGACAGAGGCAAAAGCTTACTTTAAAAATAACTTAAGTACTTCTCTCAACACAGATAAAACTGGAAGGTCAGCCCCAAAATTATGATTCAGAAAATTTTAGCCTGAAAGATTTTGAAGGGATAACCAGTCATTCAATGAGACCCAATAGCCCAAAGGCTAGCCAAGATTATTAGAATTTACTTGTTCAGATTCTTAACCCAATCTTTACTCCTTAACACAACATTCTCTCCTTAATCTTGCTAGTATATTTTCAGGCCCCTAAAGATGTTCAGTTATGCCATCTACAGAAACATGATACAAGTAGAACCTTATCTTATACATATTTCAAATAGTACAACATAAAGGTTATCAATAAAATCTCACAGTATGCACCAATTTTAAATAATGGACTCATTAAATATTCATCAAGAATTTCAAAGCTAGAAACTATATTTATCCTACTACCACATACTGGTACTGCTTTAGCCATCCTTCAGAATTATTATTTGAATTATGCCGAAGTTTAAATTATAAAATATTTAAGAACTCATATATGTAGCTTCTGATTAAATGCAGCCAACTCACACTAACACTCCTTAGTTGAGCAACAGCTAAAGAAAATACCAACAAGATCATTAAACCAAAGTATCTGCTATGTGGATTATTAGTTTCACTAAATTCAAACTCTCTTAAGTCTACTCATGTGACATATATTAGAACCTTAAACAACTTCTAACCTATTCTTTAAACCTGTTGGTTAATAACCATTACTAATTCATCAAGTAGGATTAATTTAAGAAACTAACGTCCTCTCTTCTTCTTCTTCTTTTTCTTCTTCTTTCCAGTTGCTCCATCTCCATCACCATCTCCATCTAAGAAAAAAACAATTCCAAGTAAATATTCATTTAATCCTCATAAGCAGAGAAAAACGCAGGCACGAGGAGGTAAGTCCATGTGTGTACACATACATATATAAACAGCATGAGAAGACTGACCCAACACTGTCATTAAAAACTTTTTGGATGTTGCTAGCTTTAATTAACAGTTTGACTTGCATAATCAAAAGCACTAGCAAATTTTAGTTTGAATTCTTCTAGTAAAAGAATTATTGGATGAAATATTAAGAAAATAATATTAACTTTCCTTTTAAAAAGGCTAGAAAAATAACTAGTGTTAGTTCGTATCAACAATAATGACCCTGTGACTTCATCTAAAATCATAGCTTACATATGCTTTGCAGTTAAACACTTCTATTTCTTTGCCTCAGGTAATGCTTAAAGTAATCCTGTGAAGTAACGATAAATGTTTAAGCTACTTGCCCAAAACAATCCCAACTGGTAAATGACATAACTGGACCAAGAATATATGTTATCTGATTCCTCATCTAGTGAGGTATATATTGGATATCATATTTTATGTCTTTTCTACATAGTTGTGATCAGAGGGGGAAAACAGGTTCTTCTGGGTTGAACTATATGCAAAAGAAATCAGTGGGCATATATACTTTTTCTTGGTTCATGGTTTTGAGTCTCAAAAGAGCCTGATGAAAGCTGAACTTGGTAGTACAAACCTGTAATTCCAGAACTCATGAGGCTGAGACTGAAGGGTTGTGAGTTTAAGGCCAGCCTGAACTGAAGGAAAGGGGGAAAGTTAAAGGAGGAAGGGAAGGAAGGAAAGAACAAACCCAATGCCCTCAAATTAGTTAATAACTATGCTGCAAAAGGAAAATAGGGATGAATAAGATGTTATCTCAGACAATCAGAAGTGCGGTTTAACCAGTGGATATCACACAAATCTGTAATCCCAGCACTCGGGAAGCAGAGGTAAGGGGCAATGGGAAGCTGGAAGCTATTTAACGTCACAAATTATAATGTTGTAAGATCCTACCTCAAAATACCAAAAAACGAAAAAGAACAGTCTACGAGTATGTTTGTTCACCACATAAGTATTCTTTTAAGTGTTCCTCCTAGTGGCAGAATTGCATCAATAATTTTAGATAGTGAAACGCAATAATGTCAAACAACATTTAATTTTTTTTTGACCATCCTGAGGTTTGAATTCAGGGCTTCATGCTTGCTAGGCAGGTGATCTACTGCTTGAGCCATGTCTCCAGCCTTAACAACTCTTACTTTTTCTTATAAAGTGCATCATTTCACTCCCAGATTTATAAAAAGGAGTCATGAGCGAAATTCTGTCACTACTCTACAATACTTTAATTATCATATAAAACTGCAGTCATTGGCTGGGCACCAGTGGCTCACACCTGTAATCTTATGAGGCCCAGATCTGAAGGATCGTGGTTCCAGGCCAGCTCAGGCAAATACTTTAGAAGACCCCATTTCACAAGATCTCGTCTCCAAAAAAAAACCAGAACAAAATGGACTGGAGTTCAAACCCCAGTCCCACCAATAAACAAAACAAAACAAAAAACCCCCAAAACTGCAACCATTGGTTCACATTGTCTATACTCATCTGTGGGCTCAAGGATTACTTTTCTTAAACCAAGCATACTGATAAGAACATGGCAAGTGTTCAGTCTACTCAACTAATCAATATTCTTCTAGTTACCTTTACCTGGCTAATACTTCTTTTACTTAAGAAACAGGAAGCAATAGTTTAGGAGGAGGGAGGTAACGCATTGTAAGGCTGACATGGGTTAAATATGACATTGCCAGTATTTGGCAATTTTTTGCATACAAAATTAAATTTTCTTATGTTCAACCTTGAATCCACTCAGTAAAAGAATCAGTAGAAAGAAGGAATAAAAGGAATACAAATAGGTAAAGAAACTGTCAAAATATCCCTATTTGCAGACGACATGATCCTATACCTTAAAGACCCAAAAAACTCTACTCAGAAGCTTCTAGACATCATCAATAGCTATAGCAAAGTAGCAGGATATAAAAATCAACATATAAAAATCATTAGCATTTCTATACACTAACAATGAGCAAACGGAAAAAGAATGTATGAAAACAATTCCATTTACAATAGCCTCAAAAAAAATCAAATACCTAGGTGTAAACCTAACAAAAGATGTGAAAGACCTCTACAAGGAAAACTATACACTTCTGAAGAAAGAGATTGAGGAAGACTATAGAAAGTGGAGAGATCTCCCATGCTCATGGATTGGTAGAATCAACATAGTAAAAATGTCGATACTCCCCAAAGTAATCTACATGTTTAATGCAATTCCCATCAAAATTCCAATGACATTCATTAAAGAGATTGAAAAATCTACTGTGAAATTTATATGGAAACACAAGAGGCCACGAATAGCCAAGGCAATACTCAGTCAAAAGAACAATGCAGGAGGTATCACAATACCTGACTTCAAACTATATTACAAAGCAATAACAATAAAAACAGCATGGTACTGGCACAAAAACAGACATGAAGACCAGTGGAACAGAATAGAGGATCCAGATATGAAGCCACACAACTAAGCAACTTATCTTTGACAAAGGAGCTAAAAATATACGATGGAGAAATAGCAGCCTCTTCAACAAAAACTGCTGGGAAAACTGGTTAGCAGTCTGCAAAAAACTGAAACTAGATCCATGTATATCACCCTATACCAAGATTAACTCAAAATGGATCAAGGATCTTAATATCAGACCCCAAACTCTTAAGTTGATACAAGAAAGAGTAGGAAATACTCTGGAGTTAGTAGGTATAGGTAAAACTTTCTCAATGAAACCCCAGCAGCACAGCAACTAAGAGATAGCATAGATAAATGGGACCTCATAAAACTAAAAAGCTTCTGTTCATCAAAAGAAATGGTCTCTAAACTGAAGAGAACACCCACAGAGTGGGAGAAAATATTTGCCAATTATACATCAGACAAAGGACTGATAACCAGAATATACAGGGAACTTAAAAAACTAAATTCTCCCAAAACTAATGAACCAATAAAGAAATGGGCATGTGAACTAAACAGAACTTTCTCAAAAGAAGAAATTCAAATGGCCAGAAAACACATGAAAAAATGCTCACCATCTCTAGCAATAAAGGAAATGCAAATTAAAACCACACTAAGATTCCACCTCACCCCTGTTAGAATAGCCATCATCAGCAACACCACCAACAACAGGTGTTGGCGAGGATGCGGGGAAAAAGGAACCCTCTTACACTGTTGGTGGGAATGTAGACTAGTACAACCACTCTGGAAAAAAATTTGGAGGCTACTTAAAAAGCTGGACATCGATCTACCATTTGATCCAGCAATACCACTCTTGGGATATACCCAAAAGACTGTTACTCCAGAGGCACCTGCACATCCATGTTTATTGCGGCACTATTCACAATAGCCAAGTTATGGAAACAGCCAAGATGTCCCAGCACTGACGAATGGATTAAGAAAATGTGGTATCTATACACAATGGAATTTTATGCAGCCATGAAGAAGAACGAAATGTTATCATTCGCTGGTAAATGGATGGAATTGGAGAACATCATTCTGAGTGAGGTTAGCCTGGCTCAAAAGACCAAAAATCGTATGTTCTCCCTCATATGTGGACATTAGATCAAGGGCAAACACAACAAGGGGATTGGACTATGAGCACATGATAAAAGCGAGAGCACACAAGGGAGGGGTGAGGATAGGTAAGACACCTAAAAAACTAGCTAGCATTTGTTGCCCTTAATGCAGAGAAACTAAAGCAGATACCTTAAAGCAACTGAGGCCGATAGGAAAAGGGGACCAGGAACTAGAGAAAAGGTTAGATCAAAAAGAATTAACCTAGAAGGTAACACCCACGCACAGGAAATCAATGTGAGTCAATGCCCTGTATAGCTATCCTTATCTCAACCAGCAAAACCCCTTGTTCCTTCCTATTATTGCTTATACTCTCTCTACAACAAAATTAGAGATAAGGGCAAAATAGTTTCTGCTGGGTATTGAGGGGGGGAGCGGGAGGGGGTGGAGTGGGTGGTAAGGGAGGGGGTGGGGGCAGGGGGGAGAAATGAACCAAGCCTTGTATGCACATATGAATAATAAAAGAAAAATGAAAAAAAAAAAAAAGAATCAGTAGAAATACAAATATTGATTCAAAAGTCTTAACATGAAAATATTTGGAAACTGTAACTTTCAATGTCCCTTATGTATCATATACTCTAGTTCATATATTCTGCACTGCAGTTTTAATAGTAACTTTCACCCCATTAAATGTTGAATTTATTAAGCCTTAGGCAAGAGGGACAGAAGAGTAATAAACAAGGTAGTTTTTTGCTCTGGAAAAAAAGTTCAGTGTCTATTATATTCCTATGCATACTAGACTCAACCTAAAACAAACACTTCAGGACAAATAACCAATTTTAAATATATACTAAAAATCAGGCTAGGATGTGGCTCAAGTGGTACTGTGCTAGCCTAGGAAAAATAAGGCCTGAATTCAAACTCCAGAACTGGAAAAAAAAAAAAAAAAACAGCAGCAAAAAGAAAAGCATACACTTAAAATCTGTCCAGCTATTAAAGAGAACAGAAAAGGAACTCTTCATGACTTAGAGACAGTAGTTTAATTTTATGATTCAGACACAAAAAGCATCACTCACAAAGTCATAAGTGAATAAACTGGACTTCATCAAAATTAAAATTATATTGCAAACAATACCATCAACAATGTGAAAGACAGGCAGGTGCAATAGTGCACACCTATAATCCTAGCACACTAGAGGATGGCAAATTTGAGGTCACCACAGGCTACATAGCAAGTTTGAGGCCAGTCTGAACAGAGTGCGACTATCTCAAGAAATAAATTTAAATAAAAGGAAAACAAAATGAAAAGACAAACCAAAGCCAGGGAGAAAATATCTGTGAAACATACATCTACTAAAGTACTTGCATCCAAAATATACTCAGAACTATTACAACTCAGTAAGATGATAACCCAATAAAACATGGACAAAAGATTTAAACACTTTAAAGAGATATTGAAAAGGCAAGTAAAAACATGAAAAGATGGTCAATGTCATAGGGAATGCAAATTAAAACCACAATGATATACTATGACATACCTGTGAGAAAGGCTGTAATTTAAAAACTGACAATATCAGATGTTTACAAGGATACTAATAACCTGGAACTTTCAATCACTGCTGACAGGAATGCAAACTGGTACAGTCACTTTGGAAAACAGTTTGACAGGTTCTCATGGAAATGAGAATGACCAAGAATCCCACTCCTAAGTGAGATTTTTCCCACCCAGGAGAAATGAAAACATGTCTATGTAAAGACCTACATGCAAGTGTTCCTGGTAAACTTATTCATATAGACAAAAACTGGAAACACAAATATCTTTCAACTAGTATATGGATAAACAAATTTGGAATACTGTAACAAAAAGGAATGTACTTCTGATTCCTAAAAGGGGAATGCAACAACTAAATTATTCAGTTGCAAACTGAGTAATTCAGTTGCATACTGAATAATTACATTTATATGATATTCTGAAAAAAGCAAAATTATAAGGACAGAAACAGTATTTGCCAAGGGCAAAGATGTAGAGAAAGAAAACTTGATACAAAGAACACAAGGAAATTTTCTTCTGGAAATGGCAATGTTAAATAGAAATGGTTTCATCTTTGTTATGGCAGTGGTTACAAAACTATACACTTAGCAAAATCCAACAAACTGTATAAGCCTAACTTAAAATTTATTGAATGAAAGGGAGGAATGGTGCCACACACCTGCAATCCCAGCACTTGAGAGGTAGAGGCAGGGAAACCTCAGGTTGGAAGCCAACCTGGGCTATACAATGTGATCCTGTCTTTAAAGAAACAACAACAACAACAAAAAACCAGGCATCGGTGGCTCATGCCTGTAATCCTAGCTACTCCACAGTTAAGAGATCAGGTGGACCAAGGTTCAAAGCCAGACAGGACAAATGGTTCCTGAGAAAATATCTCAGAAAAATACCCAAACTAGTGGTGTGGCTCAAGTGGTAGAGTGCCAGCTTAACAAAGCATGAAGACCTGAGTTCAAACTCCAGTACTGCCAAAAAAAAAAAAAAAAAGAATTACCTCTGGCAAACTGCCAGATGCCCACAGGGTCAACTTTTCACATTGATACTCAAAGTTCAATGCAACTAAAATTAATTTCAATATACTCTTTTTTTTTGTCTATAGTCTCTCAATAGTTCCCAACCCAAAATTGTTAGTTCAATCAGCAGTACAAACCTTCTGTCACCTAAGTTCAAAAGAAGTCTACTACTGCCTCTCCTTCTTTCTCCCCAGATTTAAAGTCTCCCTTCTTTTCCACTCCTAGTTATAACAATACACTTAAATCTTCATTACCACATACCTAGGTTATTCTCAGTGGCCTGCAAAATGGCCTCCTTGCCTGTTCTCTGTGTCCTCTCCTCAGGCTCCCTCAGTGAATCTTCTTAAAATGTCCAGTTTGCACCACCCACAATACTTCAAAAACTTTCTCCGCATTCTCTCTACTCAAATGTTCTTTTCTGGTTAGTTTTAATCAAGCCCCATTCTTGCCAGTAAGTGTTCCCTTAGCAGTTGGCTCCTCCAAAATCCCACCTCAGCATCCCACCTCCAAATCTCACATAATTATAAGGCACATATCACGATATCTTTTCACCTCTATGTAGTCTGTCACTCCACCACTCCAACAGCTTTCCTTTAAAAGAAAAACTTGGAAATACTAATTTTCCATCCCCTCAAAGAATACTCATAACAGATCCACAGTACTGATTGACTTAGATTGCCAAAATGGATTAGGGAATTGTAGAAAACTACCTATATTCCTAAAATCTTGTTTAATACACTGAAGACTTCCAATACGACACGCAAAAAATTTCCCTTTTAGTGTCAAGAGATGTAAGAACTTCGTAGGTGAAATGTACAAGGCACACTTCAAGATTAGCACTGTAACATTCTACATAGTGAACCTTCAGCAACCTATTATATTACCTTGAATTTACTAACTCCTTTCTTGTTCAGAGCTCAAAATATGTTGTCAATAATCTGAAGAAAAAAATCAAGGCAGAACGGAGAAGAGGTCTGTTTAACGAGGTAAAAGCTAATGATTCCTTTCACTCTTGGCACCTTTTCTACCAGTGCTGACTATAAGCTTCTTGAAGGCACTGAAGAAGTTTTCTAAAGAAAAAACTACTCAAATTACCTTAACATAATAACTAAAGTACAGCCTCTGCTAACAGTTGGAAGATATTACCCTAAGGTGGAACAACTGGTAGAGACAATAGACAACTGCAAATTCAAAGAATGGGAAAGTGCTATTTCCTCTTGTGTCAAAACAGGCTGTATAATAACAAGTTTTCTTAATCTTCTCTCTCTCTACTGTCTTACTGATAGCATAAATTACTAGAATTCTAACAGTAGCTGTCTTAAAGGAAATTTTACAGCATCCAAATACTCATAAGAAACTAAGGTCAGAGAATTCATAAAAGTTTAGAAGTACTCCAAATACGCTCCTTTAACAATGAAGGATAGTTTCAGTATAGAGAGTAAAAGGAATAGACTTGGGATCAGATGATAGGTTTCAAATTCTGGCCCTATTTTACATACATTAGCTGAGGAAAAGCACATAACTCCCACTTCTCTATAAAACAAGAATAGCACCTACTTTACTAGGTTTTATGAGGCTAAAATGATATTATGAATGTATCCCATTAAAGTGATGACTACACAGTAGCTGTTCAATAAATATTAGTTAAATAAACATCCCCTCACATTTTTATCCTACTAATACTCACCTACTACTTGGTTTTCTACCAAGTACCTTCTAAAAGTTGAGATATGTGCTATCTGAGCAGCTATTCAACATATCCAATTTTTTAAGGAGCTGCCAATAAATACCTTCTCCTTTTGATCTGTGACATTAATTGAAGAATTAACAAGTGAAATGTCACAGAACAGATTGCACAAGCAAATAAATACACACAAAGATCAAATTAACCATTTACCTTCATCATCATCATCTCTTTCTTTGTCTTCCAATACTTGTCTATCCAACTGTTTGGCTACCTCATCCACTGAGGTTCCTGATTCTTTATCAGGTTCCTGTTGCCCTGTTGATCAAATAAAATCCACAAATCAGAATAAAGATATGTTCCCACACTAAAACTTGTTCTAACAATGCTTGAAAATTTACAAATACTTTCCTTATAAGTGCTCAGGGAACAAAAGGAAACATTACTGTGAAGACAATTTGTTAAAAAACAGAACAAAAAATCTTCCATATGTAAGTAGTACCATGATTCAACAAATTATCCATTATACATGCTAGCAGCTAGAGGATAAATAATACATTAATTAGTGGACAGATATTTAAGACAGGAAATAAATGAGAAGGTCTTAGGAAAAGAAGGAACTCTCCTGGCAATCATGCTGGGCTGGACAAAATCAAAATAAATAGGAAAAGGTACTCCACGACTAATTTTTAGACACCTACGCATAAGACCACGCCCCTGCTCTGGAAGTGATTACAACCTAGCTGTAGGAGCAATATGTATAGAAAAATACGACGCAGCACATAATGAAGTGACATTCGTATTGAAAAATACAACTGTTAAAAATGTATTAGGATCAGTCTGCTGCACACCTTCAAGGACAAACTGCAGAATTTGGATTTCATTCGAAAGCCAGGAACAGTCACCAGAGTATGCCCTGGAACTAAATTTTGCTCTGGAAGAGACCCAGCAAAGCTACAACTGTCCCTCTTCCACTCCTATCTAGTCAAAATTTCAAAAAAACAAAGACAAATTCCCTCCATTTTCTCTCATTCACAGACTTATTTTAATTAGACACAGGTTAAAAATAACTTTTGGCTAAAATGAAGGAGCCTGTAAAACAAAAAATGCTGACTTCTCAAAATAAAACATTTTATTTCCCAGCTCATAACATGCTCCAACTGTAAACACTGAACTGTTTTCCTTGCGTTCCCAGTGGATCTGGAGAGTCCACTCCCAGCCCCAGAATATCCTGCCTGCACTGCCTGCAAGTGACAACCAGTTCAGGGCTGAAGGCCCTACAGTTCGAGGATGCTGTAGGATCAAGCAGGTGAAAATTCGCACCGCCACCACCACGGCTGAGTGACATCAGCGTGCTGGCATACACCCTCCAAAACTGAACCCGCAACAAGAAACTCTAATGTAAACCGGGATGGCGGGGGTGGTGGGGTGTCATGCGGACAGGCCATCAGCTTGTCCATCCACCCTACCCCATCCTCCATGAAAATACATCCCGGAGGTGGCTCCAGCAAAGAGGCGGCAGGACGGGTCTGCACTGGATTTTGGAGGAGGCGCCGAAACCGCGCGGGAGATGGGAACTGTGCCCTGTGCATGGCTTCGTGTCGGCGTCACCCACGACCTGCGTGGGAGCCCAGGTCCAGCGGTACCTGGGGGCTGCGGGCTCAGCAACCCCAGCGCCACACGCGAGGCTCGGACGCTCTGTTCTCCCCCACTCCACACATCCCATCCCCCAGACCTGGCGGGGGGGTCCCACAGGGAGAGAAGCCTCCTCTCCTCAAATCTGGAAATCCATAGCCCGCCCCTGATACCTTCTCAGGTCTGGGAATCAGGCCGGGTCCCCGGTTCCTGCCACCCCTACCGGGCCTGAGCCAAGTCGTTCGGCCATTCCTGGCAGGGACTGCGAACATAAGGCTCCGTTTACCTGCCGCAGTCCCTTTACTCTTCTTCTTCTTCCGTCTTTTTTTCTTGGCTGCTTCCTCAGCCGTAGAGGAAGCTCCTTCCTCCCTGTCGTCTGGATCCAGGTCGCCATTCAGGTGGCTCCCGGAGGCCGCTGCCTCCTCCACACCCGCCATGTTGCCCAAGAGAACGCGAGGGAGTGAGACAGAGAGGCGAGGGCCCGCTCCTTCTTCACCCCCGCCGCCGAGCCCAGCGGCGCCGGAAGCCGCTCTCGGTGGTAGGCGCGGGGAATGCTGGGACGGTGGAGGACTCCGCTGCGGCGTCACCGGAGCGCGGTCCCGCTCGTCGGCGGCCGCGCGCGCGCATCTGCACCCGGCGGCGGCAGGCCGCGGGGACCGAGGGGCACTGATCTGGCACCTGTGTTGTCCCATGACTCGGGCATTCCTGGCGCCCGCGTAGCGTCAACATGAAAGGGGACCCTCAGCTCCACAGTGAGCGGGAGATGTCCGTGACTGCCATGTGGACACAGGGCGGCCTGCCAGAGAACTGGGCATCTTTGCCGGAACCGAAAAATTTAATATTCCCAGTTTTTTTGTTTGTTTGTTTTGTTTTAAATCGTACCGGAAGCAGCGACAGGGGCCAAGAAATGTGTTCGCTCATACACATCCCGTTTTCTTGCCGGTGACTCCCAAGGACTGCGTCGTTAGTCACAATCACAGTTCACTTAAGATCCTCTTGAAGCTGAAATTCCGTGTTTCCTGTATTCTAAACCTCGGATGAGTCAAGATGGGATCCCCAAACACTCTTCTCAGGTTCTAGTTCATGACAGATAGGACAGGTCCTGACAGACGAGGATACGTCCTTTCCCAATAACGCAGAAGCTCATCCTTCGTTTTTCTTGTTATGGGTCACCTTTCTCTATAACTTAGGATGTTCCAACAGACTAATTGAATTTTGCCTATTTCTTTACCTCTAATCTTTTAAGATACTGAAACTGCAGTTTGAGATTCAGTCCGTAGCCCAAGTAGATTGCGATTAGCTGTCTGGACCAACTCCTCAATTTCTACTGAATATAGGTCTTTGTTCACATGAAGATTTTAGGTGTTTTCATGAGTTATAAACTAGGAGCCAAGCTTCATTGGTGTCAAAGTATATCCAAGGGCCTTCTTGCTAGTGTTTACATATTAGACCTTCTGTAGAGCCAAGTGTAGTGGTAAAATGTCTGTAATCCCAGTACTAGGAAGGCTGAACTACACAGTGAGATCCTGTCTTCGAACAAACAACAATTAAAAACAAAAAACACTGTACACAGGCTCTGTCCACAGTCACATAAAACGTGTTACCTGGAGGCCAGGGCAGTGTAGCTCTGTGGTAAAGGAGGAGACCCTGGGTTTCAATCCTCAGCACCAAAAAAAGAAAAAAAGTTATTTCTGACCTTAGAGTATTTCAAACATACTGCTCCTTCCATCTGGTTGATACATGCTCTCAGTCATTCTTTTTATCCATCCACTCAATGCCTAGTATGCACCTGAATCTGACAAAATATAGACACAAAAAACAGTCCTTGTTATCATGGAGCCAACTAACAAGAATAGATATTAATCAATGATGCAAATAATGGCAAGTTAACAACTAATGATGCAAGAGCAGATTAATAAGGGGATTTGCCTAGCTGGAATGCTCCAGTAAAGCTTTCCCGATGATGTAGTAATTATGTGAAATCTGAAGGATAAGTAGACAAGGGGTAGAGGAGAAGTTTCAGGAGAGCTTTCTTGACAAAGGAAAAGAAAGCTTCATCTTATTAAAAAGAGGAGACATGGATTGTAATGGTCATTCAGATCTAACTTTGTGTCTCTGCACAGTTTACATCAGTTGTTTTAAGTATTGATTTTCTCTCTTTTCAATTAGGAGGGAGTAAGATACATTTTTAGGAACTGGAAATTGGTTAGAATGACTACTGGAGAGCGAAGAAGTACAGGAGGAAGTGTAATGAGATGAGACTGAAAAGGTAAGTACAAATGTTGGAGGAAGGAAATTGGTGGGAGGAGAGCTTACAGGCCTTTTAGACCAGATTTAGGACTTTGTTCTTTCTCCCAAGAGCAATGGAAACCCCTTAATATTCTTATGGGTGAGGGGACAGTTAAACATAGTATTTCAGTTAGCATGATCAGATTTTTTTTTTGGAAAAAATCACTGTGGCTGAAGTATACAGAGTAGATGTGAGTAAAAGCTGGGAGGCCAGTTTAAAGGGTATTATATCATCCAGGCAAGAGATGATAGCATCTTGGATCAGTGATGGTCTGATGCAAAATGGATGGTTTTAAGAGACATTTGTCCTTGAAATCTATGTCAGAGTAGGCTGGAGTTGAACTCAATATGGCCCACACACTACAATTGAACTCCCTGTCACACCCTGACCATCAGTCCAAGTAGGCCTTGAATTCACTCTGAGGCCCAGACTGGAGTTGGGCTCCCATGAGGCCATGTCTGAACTTGAATTCATTGCACTTCTTCATCTGTTTAAAGGGTATTGTATTTCCTGTCTCACAAGATATTTTATGAAAGTAATAATTTAATTCAGGATGGTTTCTTTGTATTCATTAATATTTGTTATTGCTAAACATTGCTGTTTACTAGAATAATGCTAATAAAATATTTTACTAAGTAATAGGACTTGGTGATGAACTGTATAAGAGAGTTTAGGGAGAAGGAGGCCTCTTAGGTTTGTGAAGGTGTAACTGGCTGGATGGTAATTAAATCACAGAGAGATGAATATACTCTCATATTTGAAACAGGCTGAGTCTGATATGAGACAGGCTGAGTCAGGTATCTTAGGATATCCAAGTGGAAATGTTAAGAAGGCGATAACAGGCTGGAGGTGTGGCTCAAGTGGTAGAGCATCTGCTTAGCGAGTGTGAAGCACAAACCCAGTACTGCAAAAAAAAAAAGAAAAAAAATATATATATATATAGCTATAAGGTATTAGAGCTAACATAAGAAGAAAAGTTGGGAGCAGACATTAAAATTTTGAATCATCAGCTAACAGACAAGAATTGGACCTTTGACAAAGATAGGATCATCCACCATGTATACCTAGACTCAGTACTCTATACTTGTGCTGTCCAATATGGTAGCCACTAACCTCATGTGGTTACTAAGCACTTAAAATGATGCCATTCCAAATTGAGATGTACTGTAAATTAGAACTCATGTCAGATTATAAAAATTTAATACCAAAAGGGAAAAATGTAAAATCTCAATATTTTTACATTGATTACATGTTGAAATATTTTTTATATATTGAGTTTTTAAAGCTATTACCACAATCGTTTCTTTTTACTTTTTAAAATATGACTACTAGGACATCTAAAATGACGTGGATGACTGTGAGAATATTTCTATTGAATAATGTAAGTTTAGAGTAAGAAGAAAAGAAGACCTAGGACTAAGCCTTGGCAAACATTCAGTGGATAGGTGAGGCAGATGAACCATCAAAGGGGACTGAAGAGGCAGCCAGCGAGGAAATGATCAGGAAGGAGTTTATTATTAGAGAGGCCGTGGGAAGACAATGCGTCAAGATCAAGAGCATAATTGATTGTGCTGAGTACTGCTAAGAGGTCAAGTAAGACAGCTGAAAAAGATCATATGCATATAATAATATGGTAGCTGTTGGTGACCTTAGCAAGAGCTATTTAGGTAGAGAAATAGAAGCCAGACCCAAAGGGTTGAGAAATGAGTAGGAGGTGGGGAAATAGAGACTCTCCTCATTCTTCAAGTTTCAGCTTAAATTTACTTCCTCTGAGGATCCTTCTTTCATTCAGGGCCCTACTTGCAACCTTTCATTGAATTTTTTTTTTTAACTTGCAGTGTTGGGGATTGTATCCAAGGGGTCTTGAACATGCTAGGCAAGTGATTGGTCATTGAGCTACATTCCTAGCACCTCTCTCATTGAATTCTTAACCTTTTTTTTTCCCATGGAAATTGTCACAATTTGTATTAATTTGTATGATGTTTTATTTCTGTCTCCTTAACTACCACGAGCTCCATGAAGGAAGGACTCCTGCATATTTTGTTCTGTCACCATACCTTCCAGAGAATTATACTCATAGGAGCTTAGTAAATATTCATTTATAAATAGCACTGAAGAAGTTCCCAGCACTTTACATTCATTATCTCATTTTAATCCAGTTTTGAGTTAAGGAAATTATAGAGAGAGTTTAGGCAACTTGTACCAGATCATACAGCAAGCAAATAGCAGAGTTAGACTTCAAACCCAGGATATCAGATACCAGAAGCTTAATAATTTTATATTCTGTATTCCCAATTGAAAATTTAAATCCAGCTTAATATTGATTGAAGGAGTAATTTTGCTTGGTGAGTAACTATTAAAAACCATGTAGATGTATGACTAAATTATATGCACATACATACAGATAAAAGCATATATATTTGAGATATATTTAATGACTTATGGAACATATAGATATGCGTATATCCTACAACTACTTAAAATTTATGAATAAAAATTTATGCATGCACAATAAGAATGCTTAAAGAATAAAGAGGCATAATCAACAAAGTGTCATTGCACACTATTTAAAGCAGAAGATAGGAATTCTAGCTCAGAGTAGTCCTTTAGCCATTCTTTGTGTCTCTGGTAACTCACATTACATTTTTTTTTTTCATTTTTCTTTTATTATTCATATGTGCATACAAGGCTTGGTTCATTTCTCCCCCCTGCCCCCACCCCCTCCCTTACCACCCACTCACATTACATTTTTTGAGCCACAGTTTCCTTAACTTAAAATAAAAAAAGAAGGGTTTAAAGGCTGGTCTTGAAGGTCCTATCCAGATATTCTGAGATTGTATTAGCCAGCTCAGGTTGCTGTGACAAAATACTGCAAACAACGTGGCTTAAACAACAAAAACTTATAGTTTTGGAGAATAGAAGTCTAGGATTAAGGTTACATCGGGGTTGGTTTCTGGTGAGGCCTCTCACCTGGCTTGTAGATGGCCTTCTTATATGCAGTATAAATGCTATTTCTTGTAAGAATACTATCCTACCAGGTTAGGAGCCCATTCTTAAAGCCTCATTTAATCTTAATTGTTTCTCTAACATCCCTGTCTCCAAATACAGCTACTTTGGGGTGGGAGGAGGCATGGAATCAGGGCTTAAACGTATATATTTAGTGAGAGGAGGGGCACAATTCAGTCTATAACATGACCATTGTC